TGACACAAGATAAAGTGGTGTTATTTTTGCATTCAAATGTTTAAAAATTTTTCTTTTATAAATGGGGACAATAATCCAACAAAATCTTATTCTAATATTAAAACATTCGTTTTTAGCTTGTAACTGTTTGTCATAGAAATGAAAAATGACGCTTAATAAAATGTTGTTCTTATTGAAACAATCAAAGACAGATTAATAATAAAAGTTAATACAATAATCAAAGACATGATTAAATGCAATAATCAATATGTAACATTCATAACGACCGAAGTTTGAACGCTTTTTAAACAACTGTAAGCAACTTTTTGTACTTATATCTAATTATATATATATATATATATATATATATATATATATATATATATATATATATATATATTATATATATATATATATATATATATATATATATATATATATATATATATATATATATATATATATATATATATATATATATATATATATATATATATATATATTATCAAGAATATAACGCACACACATAGTATATTTTTTAAAAACAACATGCCATTATTGAAGGTAATTTGGGACTAGATGATAAGACTTTTGTTTTCTACCTGCTCCAGTCATATCTTAAATAAAAAATATTGTAAATAATTTTTACGAGGATCATAAAATATATGTATATAAAAAATGATTATGAGATATTTAGGGGTTGTAATTATCGCCAGACATGTTTTTATATTCAGACTGATAATATGTTTGACGCGTTTTCAAAACCTGTTTGAGTGAGGCAAAACCTGTTTGAGTGAGGCAAGCAACCCGTATTTTTTTATTTTTGACAAAATATTTATCGGCATTTAAAGTTCTTTATATCGTTCTTTATCTACATTTAAAATCCTTTGTATCGTTCTTTGTCTGCATTTAAATTTTTTATATAATTCTTTTAAATTTATAATACTTGTAACAATATGATTCACATATTTTACACTTTACATGATAATAAAGTAATATAATCATTTAAGTTTCCACAGCATATTCAGTTCACAAGTAGCATATTCAGTTCACAAGTAGTTGACCTTCTTATTAATAAAATAGCAGTACCTAATAATGCAAATACTTTTGAAACAAAATGTGTAAGAGCGATGGCTGCTAAAATCTTCACAAGAACGTTTTTTTTTTAAAAAAAATTTATCCCAACTCAACTTATTCAGCAAATGGAATCCTTGCAACATTTTATTTTTTTATTAAACTTTTTAATCACATAACCAGATATAACTGTAACCATCAAAAACTCAAAGAAATTGTATTCTTCGATATCTGATAAGATATTTTACGACATATCATCAAATAAGTTTGAGATTATTGTGAACCTTAAATCCTAGCATCTGACATTATTAAAAGTTGAGGTTATATGTCATCTAAAAAAGTAAAGGTTTCGTGTCACCATATGTCCAACATCCCAATGGAAAATCAGCTAGCAATTAGCAAGCGATATAGTAACAATAAAACCAGCGATTTGGACTCGAAGATTACTTGATAAGTAAACTAGCAACTAAGGACAATTCATAGCAATAAAGATACAAATTTGGCCACGAGGATTTCCAGCTGGAAAAACTAGCAAATATTCTTATTACATTATTATATTATTTATTCAAATTTATGCTGAATATTGCGCTATTATTACCAATACATATTATCAATTTTTTAAATTACTATAGTCGCAAATAGCTTTGTGCTTGTAAACCAATTTTATGCAACGCACATAAAATTGTGAACTAAATATGCTACTTGTGAACTGAATATGCTACTTGTGAACTGAATATGCTACTTGTGAACTGAATATGCTACTTGTGAACTGAATTTTTATATGATAATGCTAGATTTCTACTTATACTACACCTTTTCAAGATGTAAATGAGAACATGAAAGTTGTAATTAAGAAGTCGTAATATGTAATTAAGAAACACAACATGTAATTGAGAAAACGTAAGATATAATTGAGAAATCATAATATGTAATTGAGAAATCGTAACTTGTAATTGAGAACACATAAATTAAAATAGCAAATTCACAGTCTAAGTTTGTAGGTTGTTACAAAAGGTCTTTTTGGACATGAATTTAAGTTATAATCTTAAATTTTGCTTTTGTATGCACAAGTAATAATAATGGAATTGAAAGATCGTTGTGTTATATGCCAATACACTATGACCCGAAAGTCTGTGATTAAGCTAAATCCGTGTCAACATTTATGTCACCAAATTTGTTTACGTCCAGTTCTGGAACAACCAGATTCAAGTTGTCCGATTTATCGGCATGAAATACACACAACTGAACAAGTTGAAAGGAAACGTTACGTTTTATCTTCTCCAAATGACAGGAGAAGAGTTGTTGAATGTGCGGAGCGATTTGAAGATTGGGTGAATCTCGCGCAAACGCTAGGTATCAAATATGAGACAGCATACAATTGGGTTCGCAGCGGAAATTCAAATTTCATCGGAAAAGGAGGTTTTAAACCGAAAAAGTTGACCGAAGATCAAATCGAAGAAACATTAACATGGATTGAAAATGATTGTCAATTAACATTGGTGGCCATCAAAACAAAGATATTAAGACAATTTAACATAAACGTTAGCACAACAACAATAGCAAATTACCTCGAAGGCAGATAATTCTCATTAAAAAAAGTGCACAAGGAGCCTTCTACAATGAACAGTTATGAAAACAAACAAAAAAGAGCTGAATATGTTAGAAACATCAACGAACATATCACAAATGGTCGTCAGATAGTTTGGTTGGATGAAACAAATTTTAACCTTTTTTGTAGAAAAACGCAAGGACGCGCGAGACAAGGAAAAAGAGCAATTATGAAAGTACCTGCTTCAAAAGGTTTAAACATACACTTGATCGCAGCTATTTCAACTACAAATGTCGTCATGATAGAAACTCGCAGGTGATCATTTAAAGCAGATTCCTGTAACGAGTGGTTGTTGGCTATGTTTCACCACTGGGTTACATCCGGGAATCGTTTGGAGGATTTGGTCGTCGTAACAGATAATGCTCCTTGTCACGCTCGTTTGCAAAGGGTGTTTGATAGTTCACCAGCTCAGTTGTTGCGTTTGGGACCTTACAGTCCAATGTTGAACCCGGTGGAAACGATCTGGTCCAAAATTAAAAGTAACGTTAAAAATGCAATTCGCATTCCAACTGTATTAGGTGACGGGATTGCGGAACAGCGCATGCAGTACTTAGAACGAATTGTAATTGAGGCGAAAAATACTATAATGGGAGGAGATTGTGCACATGCGGTACAACACACAACCACGCACTATGCAACTATTTTAAATATGGAAGACGTACAAGTTGGTGCTTAAACGATCAATGAAGTGATTTTTAATTATATAATTTTTAATTATAATTTTTAATTGAATTATAAATTTTTCCCTAAAATGTTTTTAGTGTTTATTATGTTAAATTCATTTGCCCAAAAATTATAAATTTTTCCCTAAATTTTTCCCTAAAAAATTAAATTTACGCTACAAATCTTGCGTCATTTTTAAGTGCGTCATTTTATACGCTCCATTTTTTTACGCGCCATTTTTTTTAAGCGCCATTTTACACTTACTACTTTAAAGCGATATCTAAATTAAAATTTTCGTGTTCTCAATTACATCTTTCTATTTCTTAATTACAAGTTACATTTTCTCAATTACATGTTACGATTCTTAATTACAATTTTCGTTTTCTAAATTACATCTTATGTTTCTTAATTACAACTTACGTTTTCTCAATTACATCTTACGTTTCTTAATTACAACTTTTGTTTTCTCAATTACATCTTACGATTCTTAATTACAATTTTTGTTTTCTCAATTACATTTTAAAAAGGTCTAGTCAAACCAAATCTAATTTTTGCTTGTGACTATATCTTTTTTTTATATTATTTTAGAAGTTTTATCTTAAGCAATAATATTGATAGGCACATACAAAGCAAAGATGTGTAGCTACCAACATATAGTTTTAAACCGAAACTTATACTCTGCGCTGGGTATATATAAATGTAAATGCATATTGTTATAGCAATAAGTGGCTATAGTCACTTAGTACCTATAAACCTGTCATCATGTTGTAGCTTGCGACAAAGCTGCGATATGTAGTTATTGATATATCATAAGACATCGCTAGCTAAAGAACTATGATACATAGCTATTGATTAGATATGTCGTTATGTGGTAGTTAGCTAAATAGTACGATCTGTAGAGATTGGTATTTTCGTGCAATTTTTTCTCACATAATTGTTTAATTTCGTCTTTTACTTCTTTAAAAAATGATTTTTAGTATTGGAACTAACTATTTGTAATAATATTTTACTTATAACAATGCCATTTTATTTCGATATGTTGTAATCTAAAAATTGCAGCTAAGTAACTATCGATACTATTACAATATATTGCCAACTACATAATGTAGCATGGTAGCTAGCTACTACATAAAAAACAGTATGTAGCTAGTCACAGGCTACAGTGAATAGCTACAAATTGCAGCTAGTCATTTTAGCCAACGACAAGCTATAATATGTACGGGATATATTTAAAAACTTTAAAAAGCTTGAGGCATTAGTCTATCTATATCTTTATTTAAAAGTGATAGGATAAAATATTGCAAAAGCAAGTGGTACAATGTGTTTGCTATCTCCTATATAAAGCAATTTGTAAGATAATTTTCTGAACCTTTTTTAAAATTTGACTGAAGTAAAATTTGACATCATAAAATGTTATATCATACAACATTATACATCATCATACATCATGAGGATTGATGATATTTCGCCATCATGTACATTAACATAATTATAAAATTATTAACTTATGAACTCATGAAATTGTTTGTAAATTTTTGTGAAAATTGAGTCAGAAAATAAATATATTATTATATATTACAAAAATATTAACGTAATAAAATAAAAGTTTTGTTTTTTGTACTTTTGAAATAAAATAGAAATAGCAAAAGCATTATTCAAATGATTATCAGTAATTACACGACGTACACGAAATCTATTGTCTTTTAGAGGTGCACTCATCATGGCAAGTCATTTGCACTTTTGTAAGCTTTTATAACAAAACAAAATGTTATATTTTTAAAAACAGTTGTAGACGGTATGACAACTTAATATATATATTTTGTGAGCCAACTGATTTTTTGTACTTTATTTCATTTGGTTCAGTTTTTAAACTATTAGACAAACACATGTTTATTTCTGAGAAATAAACACGCGTTTCAAAAAAAAAACATTCTTTTTTTATTTATTCCACCCATGAATTAAATGCTACCCATTTGCAATAACCCTAACTGTAGCACTTTATATTAAGCGTAAAACCAAGCGTGTAAAATCGCGTTAACAATGTTTAGCGTAGCCAGTTGATATGTCAAAGTTCACGCATTATAAACAGTTTTCATTTTTTAATTTGAATTATCATAGAAAAAAGTGCAGCTGTTCATATATAAAGAATATATGAGACGAATCACAGTATATACGGTGTAAAAAACTTTTGGTGTTGAGATGTTTTCTTTTAGATGTGGAATTATGCTTAAGATCTAATGATATTTTTTAAACTAAAAAATATGGTTTTGCTGATATTTTTAAGTCATACAAGTTGTTTTCATAGATATTTGTTCTTTTTAAACACAGTTAGGAAGTATCATTTTACAAGTGCAGCAATTTTTTTTTTTTTTTTTTAATTTTTTTTTATTTTACTTCACCTCCTCAAGGCCGAGAAGGCCACTACAGACAAGGAGGCTACTTATTTTGTGGCTATAACTCTCTCTCAACTCTATAACTCCGAAACACGAACCTTGACGAACAAGGCCGCTGCGCGGAGAAACAAGTTGAGCGCGGTACTACCAGGGACGTGGTGGGTATCGAACTCGGAACCACTCGTTTATGAAGCGAGCGCTCTACCACTACACCACTACCGCATTTTTGACTCGGAGTCGGCAACTAATAGCTTCCGCCAGCCTATTGGTGTTGGTCTCCGAAACATTTTGACTCCAAAAAAACTCTGGCAGCGAACGTTAGTTGAGAGCGGAAACCACTGCAGGTATAAACCAGAACATTTTGCTTTTGCTGAAGCCACCGCCAAAGCCTTCTAAAAAATCGACATTTCTCCAGAAAGTTACTTTGCGGCCAGGCGAAATTATCAACTCTGTGCCAAATAAAAGATAAAAAGTCACAAAAATAAAACGTAATCAACACCCACTAACTAATTTAAAAAAAGTTATTTAACTAATAATAAATTACTTAACTGAAATTTTTTAAAAATCAATTTTAGTAATTTTAATTAATCAATAAATAAAAAGATATAAAATATCAGGAAATTAAAGGAAATTATCGGCAAAGCAGTTTTTCGAAAAATGATATCGTTGGAGAACAATAAAATGGTAAAATACACACAAATAATAAAATATCGGCAATAAAGTTAGCAATATTGCAAATAACAAAGGATTGGTAATAAAGTTAGCAATATTATAAATAACAAAAGATCTGTAATAAAATTAGCAATATTGTGCTGATTACAAAACAAGCAAAAATAAATAACAAACTAGAAAACCTTTAACACATTAAAGCTCAATTTTAATATAGATTATAAAATGATTTGAAAGTTAAGGCCAGAGTATTTAGCGGTACAACTTCTTAAACAAGCAATATAATTTAGTTCGCCTTCTGATGAAAAACCTTTTGAAAAAAACTTTGCACATTAGAAAAATAATAAAAAAATGAAAAAATTAAATTTTAACTACCCTAAAAATAAACCAATGAAAATATAATTTAAACAAAATATACTTTTTAAAAATATCTCATTTGACAAAAGATTTTTCAAAAAAAAATTTTCTATATTGGGGCAAATAATTGTTTTTATCGTAAAAAACGACAAAAATAAACATTTACATAACAACATAACAAAACATTACTTTAGTTGTTCTCAGCAATATCATTATATTATTTTATTTCTTTCATTTTATTTATATTGGGCGTACTAATTTTTTTTATCGCAACATAAGTATAAAGTATGGTCTGCTTAATAATATATAACATAATTAATAGCAATTGACGCTAAAAATCAAATAGAGAATCAAACCTTTTTTTTCGTGCGCGTTTACTAAATAATTTATTTTTGTGAATTTATTTGTTTCCGTTGTTAACTTTTTGAATTTCATTTATAGGACATCATAGAAGTTTTAAAATCTTTCAATCTATTGAAGTTGTTGTTTACTGAAGTATATAAAAAAATCAAATGTAGGATGAATTGTTTTACAAACAGAAATCGTGGCATCATTCTCGATTTTGACGGAACTCTAGTTCAAACTAATGCGGCAAGTAAATTTTCTTTAAATAGTGCAAAAGACTATCTTGTTGAAAAATATAACATTTTACCAGCAACTGCTAATCTTATTGTTAATGAGTTTGTCACCTTAGTCAATAAATCTGAAAAGGCAATCGTTTACGAAAGCGACGAAGATTTATGGAGAAAACAAATATGGCAAAAAGTCCTAATCGATAATAAAGCTGCAAATGTAGAAATTGATACTTTTTACAGCTATTACAAAGAATCTTTTCTTGAGCTTATTGAAATAAAAAAGGAGGTAAAAAAAATGTTAAAAAATCTACAAAATAGTTTTAAAATCATTATTTTAACTAACGGAAATTCGCAATGGCAAAGAAAAAAGTTAGAAAAGAGCGAAGCAAATAAATATGTTGATGACATTATTATAAGCGGAGAACACAAAATCAGCAAACCTGATCCAAGGTTGTTTCAGCTTGCTTGCCTAAAACTTGGTTTAGAAAGTAAGCAATGCATCATGGTTGGTAACAATAAAAAAGCAGACATTTTTGGAGGGTTTAATGCTGGTTTAAAAGCTACCATTTGGATTCGAGATAAAGAGTACGATAATGATAGTATTCAACCCGATTATATAATAGACGATATATGTGAGTTAGAATCAGTTCTAGTAAAGATTTTTTGAAACAAAAAAATACGTCATTAAAAAGGTTTAATCCGATACAGTTTTTTTTTTAATTGTTAGACAATTAAGAAAGCTGATTTTAAAAATAAAAACCATATAAATCTAAATTTATTTTATGTTCAACAGTTAAAAAACACATAGATAGAGGCTGATGTCCGTTTTTTAGTGTTTGACATAGATAACTTCCAAATATGAAGCAAATTCCAAACATTTATATATTTACATTTTCGTCAAATAAAGATGCTCTGCAAAAATTGCGAGTATTCAAGCCTCGAAACAAATAAACAAATGTCTTTTCCTACCCTAAACTTGGGAACAACTAGTTTATAAATTTTTGTTGTTGCAATTTTTAACTAAATTTAAATTTGTCAATAAATTTCAAAATTTCAAAAAAAAACAACAGAAATTCTATCAAAAATTATGAAGAGTAACAAACTTTATACATAAATTTTGAAGAACTAAGAGATAATTGTATAAAATTTCTTCATGAATCAAAATTTGGTTTAAAATGACATTTAAAAATTTATTAATTTGTTGCTTTCAAATTTTAGAGCGAAAAGCTTTGTTCCCCGACTCCAATCATTGCAATCTGTTTCAAAGCATTTTTATTTAAAATGCGTATAAATATATAGATGTTTGGAGTTTGAACTCAATTATGGAGGTTAGTTTTCACAAATACCAAAAAACGGTGCACGTGCCCATGAAAACGTCATGTAAAAACTAATTATTTTTCTTTATCATTTTGGTTTCTTCCAAAGTAGTAAAAAGTGGTAATTATTTCTTTTTGCAAAGTTTGTTACATATGAAAAAATCTCTATATTATATATATTTTTTAATATTTACATTACAATTAATTTAAAAGCTTCGTCTGTTAATGGTTTTTCTCTATAATTCTCAATATGCTTATGTAAAAATATGCTTGATAATTTTGGAATCAGGTTTGTACAAACTTTATGGTAAGACTTGGACAAAGGTAAGTCGTTTTTAGCTAACTATTTTTTGACTAAATAATTTTAGTAAAAACATTACTTAATCGTAACAGTAAAAGAAATGAATATTTCATATGTTTATTTGTTTGACAACTAATTTATCATCAGAATGAAGGAAGTTTAGCTCCTGACTTAGAAAGATAGTAATATTTTCAAATCAAATGTTTATTATTATTATTATTTTATTTATTTAACACCCAATTTACAAGGTAAAAAGAAAAAAATAAGAAAGTTATTTCGGATGACTTTGCTTAAAAACGTTTTCTTCCAGAATTTGCTTGAAAACTCCTCTTTGCTCTTTTGCATTCCAGCACTCTATTGCATACTTCAAGTTTCGTTCAACTTCGGAAGGAATTTTACTTTTAGAAAGTGGTATTTTTACCTTCTTTTTGTTTTGAATTAGGTTTTGAAAATTTAATATCTGAAGATGGCATAGTTCCTGAATATCACTAACAAACGAATGTTGAAATAACGGGTGTTGCAGTTGTGAAAAGATAATGTCTGCAGTTGTTTTGTTATTAAGAAGTCGAAGGAACAAGTTTAACTTATTTTGTTGAACACTTTTTGAAATTTCCTGGATTTTAAATAACGAATTCATATAGTTTTTACTATGTTTTGAAACATTTAAAAACGATTTTAGCGCACTCCTTCCAATTATATCTAGCTTTTTCATCAGACCAGGATTATTTTCACATAGCTCCATACCATAAGTTAAGGTGGGGACTGCCAATGATTTATATATATAGGAAATAGAACTGGGGTGGGCAAACCGGATTCCAGATTGAATAAGAGTTTGAACAACAGCTCTAAAGTTTGATTATTGGCACATCCAATCTCAAAAATCAGGAAGACCAATTAAAAGACAAAATGAAAATAAGGAATATGAAAAAACAGATCTTACGCAACTAAAAAAAAACAACTTGAAAACTATGTATAAACTTAAAAACTATGTAGCGAGTAAAACCTATAAATTTTTTAATAATTTTTTCATTTACTTGATATGGACCTTTCCTCAAGTAACTTAGTTGTCCAACCGACACTAAAAAATTTCTTGCGGGTTTGTTTTTTAAACGTAATCTTCATTCATTATAAATCTTTTCATTTTTAAAGTTAGCTAAGATTGCTTGTGGGTTTTTATTTCATTAAAAATCTTTTAAAAAATCTTTTTTTTTAAACTTTTTTTTTTTTTTTACTATTAATATATCGTAACTCTTTGTAAAGACTAAAAAGAAAAAGAAAATAGAAGCATACCTTTCAATCTTTAGTTTATGAACTGAAATATTAAATTTAAATTAAAAAGATAATTTTCAACTTTTTAGTACAAAAAAGATTATATTTTTTAGCAAATGTTTTTGCTATATTTTATTTGTTGTATTTTACTAAAAATGATGTCTACTCATAATTTTAAGATGTAACAGTACTTTTACTATGTAACAGTAAAGTTTTACGAAAAAAATATAAAGTAAAGATCAGTCTTTATAATACACATATAATCTGGTTTTAAAATAACGAAGTAAATTTTTAACATTTAATGCTTTTATTTTGTACAAAAAATGTCACATAATTTAGGGAATATTAAATACTTGAACTAGTAATTGTAATATGTATGCAACCTATTTGAACTATAGACATTGCCCCTCACTTCCCCTTTTGGGTTTCTTTAACATTTTTAAATAATGACTTGTATATGTTATTTGCTGGAAATCAACTTCATTTCTCGTAAACAAAAATACATGTTATTTTGTTTGTTAATTAATTCAATACATATTGCACTGTTTACCTAACAAAATGGGTCGTTACCTAACTCATATACTTTTTTTGTTTAAATATTAGCTAATAAAATGTTTCACCGAGTTCCAAAAAAATATGTATTTTCACCTCTTATTTAACATTTTTTTCTATAGAACATAAAGCTTTTTCTATAGAACATAATTTTTTTCTATAGGACATAAATGAATTGCTGGGGTTTCCTGCGGTATTACAAGTTAATAAAGAAATTATGTTATTACAAAGTTAAACTTCTTAAAACTATATTTGATATATTTAAACAAGAGAAAAAAAGTATAAAATAAGTATTTAAAAGTTTTTTTAAATGTTTATTGTCAATTTTGAAATATGGTTTATTATTCGATAAGTACAACATGTTTGAAATAAATTTACTCAAAACAATAGTAGCTTTAATCAACACCATCAGTAGCTTTACTCAACAACATTCAGAAAATCACCTAACAACATCAGTAGTTAGTCATCAGTAGTTAACAACATCAGTAGAAAATCACCTAACAACATCAGTAGTAGTGCTCAACAACATCAGTAGTTCACCTAACAACATCAGTAGCTTTACTCAATGACATCAGTAGTTTTACTCAACAGCATCATGAGCTTTACCCAACAATATCAGTAGCTTTACTCAACAACATCATCAAAGCTACAGCTTTACTCAGCGACTTCAGTATTTCCTGTAATATAAAACTTTATTTGGTTAAATATTGATGAAATTTTGTTGCAGGAAACCTAACATAAAATATTAAATAGTGTAAAGTAAAAAAAAATATTTCTGATATACTATCGATTTATTTTATTGACGACTCTAAAAAACAATAGCAATGAAAAGATTAGATCTTATTTCAAATATACGTAAGTTAGTAGTGAATGTTACGATTATGGAAGGATTTACTTGACGAAATATAAAAAACTAAAGAAATAAACAAAGAGAACTTAAATAAATGTATAAAGATTGCTTTAATTTTTTTTATTTCAAAAGTGAAGAAAAAACTAAAACAATGTGGTCGAAATTTTGATACATTTATAGAATAAGAGTATAATTGGCTTCAAAGAAATCTTATGAACAATAAAAATTGCTATTTTGGTTTTGAGGGTCTCTTTAAACAATAGGGAGAGGGGTTTCTTGGAGAGAAAAACAAAGGAGATAAAAGAAGCTTTATATATTTATCTACCTATTTAATAGATCAAAAATTGTTAAATACAATTTGTGGCTGGTGAGCCCCGACTTTTTCCAATGTACACCACAACGACAAAAACAACAACGTCTGTTGTAAATATTACCTCTCCCATAAATCTAGAAGTTTTTCTAAAAAGTGTAAAGGAAATTAACACTGATCTTAGCGATAAACAATATTAATCAGAATTAAATTAAAATTAACACTGATCTTAGCGATAAACAATATCAATCAGAAACTCAACCTTGTACGCAATTTACATCTTTATCTTACCTTGAACAATATTTTGATGGAAAAATGAAACGCTATCCTAAAAATATACATTTATTATATAATATATATCCTGCATGGAAATTTGTTTTTATGTTGTCCAATTGCAGATTAATCCCATTTTTTTTCTAATACACTTTGTTGGTGTTGTTTTGTTCTAGTCTTTATTTTTTTTTGTTTTGCCAATCTGTTTTTGTTTACATTTGCATTCTATTAGGTATATTCCGGGATAGCTATTTTATGGTAGTTTTGTTTTGTTACGCGAGTTTTGTTGCACGAGGGCAGCAGAGATTTAAGTTTAACACAAGATTTAAAAACTGTCTTGTAACCTGCTTTTCTAAAGATTTTTTGAAGTTTTAGTAATAATATTAGGATCCACAGTAGTGATATAGTTGGGATGGTTGCTTTATTGTTAGATGAAGCTATTTCATTATTTGAGTGTGGTCTTTTTATAACAATATTTGTAAGGTTTTGTAATTTTATATATATATATATATATATATATATATATATATATATATATATATATATATATATATATATATATATATATTAGGTCAGCTGCGTGCTAGCAAGATCTGTTATCTTTAAAACTTTGATTCAAGACCACTAACCGAACCGCAACCTGACCACTAACCCAACCGTAAAACTGACCATTAACCAAACCGTAACCCTGACAACTCAACTATTTTTATTCTGACCATTTTATTAGTTTATACTAACGATTTAAATAAAAAGTTGACTGAGCATTTATTATCAGTCAATTTCTTATTCATTTTTATTCTTTTTCGTAGTTAATTTATTCTAACTTTCTCAAAAAATTTAATACGTAAATTAAAAAAAAAAACTATATATAAATATATTCATCGACAACCTAATCCGCAAACGCAATAACTCCAGTAAACCAAACTGTACAGGAGCAGCATAATAATATATATATACTTGGAATATATATGGCATATTTCATATGCCATATATATTCGAAGTATGGAAAGCAATTTTTTTATGAAGCAGTTTTTATTATTTTTAGGTTATCGTTTAATTATTTAATTGTTTAATATATAAAAATTATTTTTAAGTTATCGTTTTGTACAATGATGTCTTAGAAATAAGAAAACCTGTTACCACATATGTAAACGTATGTTTGTATGTATCTATATCTATATGTCTATATATCTATATGTCTATATATCTATCTATCTATCTATCTATCTATCTATCTATCTATCTATATATATAATATATATATATATATATATATATATATATATATATATATATATATATATATATATATATATATATATATATATATATAAATTTTTTTTAGGCCAGCTGCGTGCTGGCAAGATCTGTATGTTCAAAAAACTAATCAAGATGGTTTCTTAATACTCTCAAGTATAACCTAAATTTAGTTATATATAAAAGAACTTGTGGCAAAAAACTAAACTATATCAGTTAATTAAAACATATTTTATCTAAAAAACATATTTTTCAACAAACTTTATATGGTAGTTATATTATAAAAAAAAATTTATCTAAAAGTTTTTAATTTATTATTTATTTAAATGTTGTTAAAAAGTATTTATATAGAGGAGGAAATTTTGAATTCTTCAAAGTCCACTTAAAATAAAACATAAAAAAATAAAATAAAATATATTGCTTTATTTTTAAATAAAAAATATTTTAACTCTTAAGTAAAGTTGTTTGTAGCAATAAATCTTAATAAATAACGAGAAGTAATGACACAAAAATCTACAATGATTTTAAACCAAAAAGCTAGATTTTTCATTTATAACTCCGTTTTGAAAATCATCATCGTCGTCGTTTATATTTAAGGACACAGAGAACACTTTTTTATCATAATCCGTAAGTTCAACTTGTGATCGAGCGAAGTTAACAAATACCTAAAAACATTGTCTAAATATTATTGTGTATACATATATATATACATAAATAAACACAATATATATATATATATATATATATATATATATATATATATATATATATATATATATATATATATATATATATATATATATATATATATACATATATATATATATATATATATATATATATATATATATATATATATATATATATATATATATATATATATATATATATATATATATATTTATATAAAATATGTCTTTGTGCACCTACCTTTGCATGATATAAAAACATTAACACAACGAATTAATAGGCGATAGTAAGATCTTTAGAGTTTGATTCTTAAAATTTTACTAATTTGTATGTTGCACTGGTATGTATGCATTTTAACTTAATTGAGTTCGCCTTAAAATCGCTTTATTGAAATTCTTTTGAAAAAATTTATATAAATTAGAGTAAATAAACTACGAAAAAAAAAAAAAAAAAAAAATAGGAAATTGATTGTTTAATCAACTTTTTATCAAATAATTTTAATATATTTAAATGGTTAACTTATTTAACTATGGTTAATATTTTATTTAAATGATCTGTAAATACTAATCAGTATCAACGAGTTCTTAACCAAACCCTAGCCTTATCCCAAAAACGTAATCCTGACCACTAACCAAACCGTAAAACTGACCATTAACCAAACCGTAACCCTGACGAATTAAATAATTTTATTTTGACCATTTAAATAAAAAGTTGATTAGAGCATTTATTACCAGTCAATTTCTTATTCAGTTTTATTCTTATTTTGTACTTTATTTATTTTAATCTTCTCAAAAGAATTAATTTCAATAAAGCGATATTAAAGCAAACTGAAATAAGTTAAAATGTATGCATACAAATTAGTAAGATTTTAAGAATTAAGAATCATCCATTAAATGCTCAAAGATTATGAGGGACCCCTTAAAATATTTTTTTTTCAAAAAAATTTAAATCTAATTTTTTTTTTTTTGAGTAGAACACTTTTAGGGTGGAAGCAGATTAAAAAAAAAAATATCATTAAGGGCTACCTCAATGAATGTTTGGTTTATTTAAAATAAAACAACAAACAATACATAGTAGGCAATGTCATATTAAATTGCCCAAGTCAAACATTTTGCAGAAGAAATAAACAGCTTAAATTTCTCTAACCTGATCAAGAGTACTTTGTGAAAGCGAGTATTCATCAATAAATAGTGTTTTTTTGAGCAACTCTAATTTGTTAAACAACTGAGACAAATTTATACCACAGCTTGGATAGCAATACTCCATAACATTATGTCGACAAAACTATAAACAGAAATAAAACCATTTTAAGTGTTCAATAAAAAAATTATTTTAAACTTCTATTTACAACTGTATACATAAATTAAAGTTGTTTTAATGTATGATGTTTATATTTCAATGTATGTTAATGTTTTTATGTACGATGTTTATGTTTATTATTTATTGGTATATAGCCCCTCTGCCACCAACTTTTGAAGATTATTCGACATTAAACAGTGATTTTAGGCTGACTATGAAAATGTATTGTTTCAATTAAGTATGTTTTGTTTCAACCTTGATCCCATTATAATTCTATACTATGTATCAGATTATATTAGTAAATGTAATTAAAATATTAAACATAAGAATTAGGCCAGTGGACTATTGCTAGTGGCTGGTGGACTATATCAATTAAATATTTTATTCCTTTAGATAATTCTTATAACAGAAATAACTATATTGAATTAAGTGTTTTCTGGTATTTACATCACAAACATATAAACTTATCTCTTTTTTACTTGTCACAATCAATCGTTCTACTTTTCTCGATTGTGCATTATTGTTTTCTAATGATTAGTTTATTGTTGATAATATTTAATTTACAGAACAATTAAAACAACTGAACTTCTAATAAAACATGCTTATAAACTGTTTCATAAAATAATGCAGATGATAAAACCACATATAAATAAAATAATGCAACTGATTAAACAACACGACAACTGATATCTATAAATAATGCAAAGTTGTTAACAGATATACGCACAATATGCCAAAAATTTTGTACAATTATTAGGCATTAACTTAATTTATTTTAAATTAAATATGGCTATTAATTTTGTTTATACCACAGTTCTCTCAACTGTTGAATGATTTAAAATAAGATTTTCTTTAAAAAAAATTTATTAGATGTTTGTATTTCTAACAATACAAAAACAAAAATCGACTTTTTTATAAATACAATATTTACCAACATTGTCAATAACTACAATGAATATATCAATTCAAGACAAAATCTCTTAATTAACTATCCTAAAAATTTGTACACCATTGCGCAAACAGAACATAGTTAAAATATGCAACACATGTGACCCGCACAAAACTGTTTAGTGATCCATTTACTAACCTTGCACTAAATGGACAAGCAGTTTATTTATTTTATTTAATGAATAGCAAATTAAATTATACAAAGCAAGTGGGGTGATAAATGGAGCTTAAAAACAAGAAGCCAAAATGTTAAGACTTGATATTTCTGAATAAAAAAATAAAATAAGTTTAATTAATTATTACAATTAATTGTTATTAAACTTTGGTTCTTTGGAACTTTGGCTCCTGACAGTTGGAAAATTGACTATACACAAAACTATTTTTCTGCTTCCCAAAGAATGATAAAAACTGCAAAACAATGGCATAAATAACAAACTGAGACTGCATGCTGCACAGTTGTGATTATATTAATTATTACAATTTTAGGCCAAATCTCAATTAGATAGCCAAATTACAATAATCATGAACATATATTGGCTGGCATTATTTGCACTTATGCAAGCTTTATGTACCCAGCTCGCACACTGTCTGAGAAATGACACATTTCTTCACATATTGCACACAAATCATTATTTGATGTAATACCTCCACAAATATTCAATACCATTATCACTATTTTCGCATGGATATCAGCTCAATTAGTATTATATGTTATTAATGGAAACTTTAGAGATATTGAGTTTTTTGATTTCTCCTCGGTTTCCTTTGATATTTATTTTTATAATCTTTTTTTTTTTTTAATTTTGCTGAGATTGTTGATTGCCTTTTTAATTTAAGTATCAGTTAAAATCGAAGAGAAGAGCTTTTTGCAAGTTTTCATTTTTCTAAACCAGCTTTTGCAGAAGGATAAGGGCATATACTTTCTACATTCAGGGAAACGCTTACATTTTTATTAACTTCAATATTTCTATTTATTCCTAATAAAATTGGATTGATAGTGGGTGCTTCAGGATTGGGTCCGTTAATTTCTACTAAAATTAAATTGATACTGAGCGCTTCGTGATTAGGTCTGTTAATTTCTACTGAAACTGGATTGATGTTGAGTGTTTCAGAATTAGGTCTGTTTGTAACTAGGGATAAAAAAAATCTTCATCCTTCTATTGAACAGGTTAAAACGGACTTATGCCACATGCTGAAAAAGCACTAATGATGCTAACTGGCATTGATACTTTACACTTGCTTTGGTCCAAGCCTTTCCAGAAATTTTTGTTAAGTCATAAATTGAGTTTTTCCTGGATGTAATGCCATCCAGTTATCAATTTTACAACTATAATGAAGTTTGAAAGGTCCATAAACTGTTATATCTAGTGGTTGCAGTTTGTAGGATGTATGGGGCAGGATAGTTAAAACTATTATCCAATTCAAAGCCAATAAAATTATTTGACAAATGTATCTCATGATTATCTAGTATCAACAACTCAGGATTTGCCTTAGATAGTCTTGTACTTTTTATAAAATGATTTCCATTAGTTTGATCTACCACCATTCCATAAGTTTGATCTACCACCATTTACCCAAATTTGTTGGCAGTCTCAACAGAACCAGGAATTTAATTTTGCAAAAAATATCTTTAAAATGGACAAATGTAAAATAGTGTTATAGATGATCTACTTGCATTAACTGCATTGCACATTTTGTTACAAATCTCATTCAGCATTTGTAACTTGGCTTTTTTAACTAAAACATGGTCTGACACTTGTACAGTCTCATCAAAAGTCTCATCTCTTCATCCACATTTGATGAAAACTTCAAATAAGATCAAAAAACTATATAGATTATTTTTTTATTTTTACTTCTTTCAACATTTTCACTTATAAATTTCACAAAAGAGGAGGTTTATAAAGCAAGATAACAATTGACAGACAACTTAAAAGATTACAAATTATATGAATCAGGAAAACAAGATAAAGGAAGCAAATTCTAAAGAACTGATATTCAAGGAAAAAAAATAGACGAATAAGAAATTTAAGAGCACTTAGAAACAGTCAAAGGAAAAGGATGAGACTTAATTGAATGACTAGTAACACAAGAATGAATTTTAGTTGATAGCAAAAGGGACGCTATATCTTTAGATCATTAGTATTATAAAATAGATCTTTATGTTATGCTAAACATTATGTTTGTTGAATGCTGAAAGTCAACCAACCAATGTCACCTCTAATTTTCTTATAACGAATTCTGAATAATAACTGCAGTAGTGGTGTAGTGGTAGAGCGCTCGCTTCATAAGCGAGAGGTTCCGAGTTCGATCCCCACCACGTCCCTGGTAGTACCGTGCTCAACTTGTTTCTCCGCACAGCGACCTTGTTTGTCAAGGTTCGCGTTTCAGAGTTATAGAGTTGAGAGAGGGTAATAACCACAATAAGTAGCCTCCTCATCTGTAGTGGCCTTCTTGGCCTTGGGGAGGTGAATTAAAAAAAAAAAAGCTCTAAACCAATCTATACCAGCATGTTTGTTTGTTTCCCAAGGTTTAGCAGAACCTGGATTGAAATTTTCATGGAATGGATGGAAATTTTCATGGAATGGATGGAAATTTTCATGGAATGGATGGAGATTTTCATAAAAGAGCATACTAAAATGTTAGTGCTCTTAGCCTAATATGACTCAACCAATATCCCATTTTTGCAGAAACTAAACAATTTTAAACCAGCTCTTGTTTTTCTGACACTGAAAAACTTTCATAGAACTTTTACTATATGGAATACACTGCAATTTATTCATTCTGTCTGATGATAGTCGAGCTTCTTTAATTGGCCTCTTCAAGAGTTTAACTTCAAATATCTCAACAGCTTTTCTTTTAGATGAAGTTTTTATTAAAACATTTTTAACTATTTGGACCATAATGTTGAGATCCCAATCACCCTTTACTGCTGTTGCTTTATGATGTCTCATGGCGCTTCTAAAATGAATAAAACTTGTGTATAAGCATATTATAAAAATAAATTTATTTGTGCCATTTTATATAAATAAATAAAGTGGAACAGATAAATTTATTTTTTATAATACTGTAATATTGCAATACTCTATTCTTATTTTTTTTAAATGTATATTACTTTATTTTTATAATATTATTCAAATTATTGATAATTTGATATACAACATCTTTTTTATAAAAAGAAACATAAACATTGCATTAAGCTTAACTACACCTGTAATATGGTTTTTTAATGTTTTTTAAAACTTTTTATAGTTTGACACTAAAGTCTTTTAATTATATAATTACTTTAATTTAAGAACTCCAACATTAAGAAACTCACATAAAGAAAAAGAAGCAATTATAATTTAATTTAAAATTAAAATTTTTTGTTATTGTCTTCAACAACGTACAAATAACATTTGATTATATATCAATGTTATACCTAAATGTTATTATTTTAAATAACAACTTTAAAAATTCAGTTTATTGTAATAATATTATTATTATTGTAATATAAAATAAACTATAAAATAAAAGTTACTACCCTAGTATGTAAATACAGAAAACGTGTGTATTTTATTTTGGTAACTTACTGGCTCCTAATAAATACTTATGTAGAAAAATGAACCAGTCCATTCAGTACAATCGATAGTGGTTCATCCAGTACACTAATCAAAATGTTGTTTGATTTTAGTATAACTAAATCATGCAACAAAATATTGCATGATTTAGTTATACCAAAATCAATCAACATTTTGTTGCTATAACTTTTATAAGAATGATTCAAATTTTGAATTTCTTATTACTTAGTTCTCGAGTCCCAGTTAGTTTTAATATTATCAATTTATACTAAACATTTTTTTGGTTGCTTGTCATAAAAATTAATCTTTAGATAATAAACTTTAAAATTATTTATTAACTAAGTCTTTTTTTTTGATTAAAAATTATAATTCTGAAATTATAATATTTAAAGCAGAACAATACTTCAAAGGGTATCAGGAGGAGGATGAGTGTTGTACACGTTAATAAAAAAATTTTAAAAATAAAATTTTATTTGGTTTTAGTATACAAAACTACATATGAAACTATTTGAAAATATGAACATATTTAAATACATTATTAGGTGTATATAAAAAGTAAATACTAATTTTTGAGGGAAGAGAAAAGAATAGGTCTAATAAAAAAAAAAAAAAAAAATTATTTTACTAGACAAAACTAAATGTGTCATTTTGGGACAGTAACCCTGCAAAACACTCATCAGTCTGTAGAAAAAACTCTTTTTAGCAATTTTTGTACAATATCTACAAACCTACAAAAAAATTGATGACTTTTAATCCTATTATAGAATTAGTGGCCCTCTGGACTTTTCTTACCCTATTTACCCTATAGCGGTAACTCTATTTTGGAACACCATAATATATACATATACATATACATATATATATATATATATATATATATATATATATATATATATATATATATATATATATATATATATATATATATATATATATATATATATATATATATATAAAGTTCAAGATAATGAGAGATCAAGATATTGAGAGGATTTCCGCTCAAACAAATGTGACCGGAAATAAAGTTCAAGATACACAAAGGTTCCAGATATCGAGTAGTTAAGATATTGAGAGTCAACTGTATAAAAAATCTAGATTTATTTGCATATAAACAAATTCAGATCTTGTTTACATAATTTTGTATCATGCATTTGTATACAAAAGTATAAAGTTCAATCCACACCATATATTGAAAAGTATTGCGCTCAACCTTAAGCCAAAGTTAAAATTTGTGTCTTGGAGTAATAAAGTTGAAAGTTGTGGCAACAATAAAAAAAAACAAACAGCATCAACAACAATTCAAAAAAAAAATAATTTATTAAACTGTAATGGCCCTTGGGGAAATAAATATATTTAAAAAAAAGTTATAAAACTTCCGAATATAAAAGTTACAAACTTTTAGTTTTGCATCCAGTAGGTTTGATTTCATAAAATCTTCAACATCAACAAATAAATGGGAACTGCAGCGAATTAAAATGATGTATTCTAAACCATATCTAAAAATTATACGTAAATCAATTATTTAAATAAATCTTTTGTAACATTGAATGTTACAAAATAACTCTACAAATTGATTACTTGTTTTTAAGATGTTGAGGGGTACCCAAGCATTTAAACTCACCATTCACCATGATAGCAATTCTAGAACACAGGGTTTCACATTCTTCCATGCTAAAAAATTTTTTAAATTAAATTTTTTTTTTTTTAAATCAAAATAATTAAAAAAATTGAAAAAAAAAATAAATAAATAAATAAAAAAATAAAGTTATAAAAACACCTATGAGATGTGAGTACAACAGACTTTCCATTATTTATTAAAGAAATAATTACATCCCATAAAAATCTTCTTGACCCTGGATCCATACCAGTTGTTGGTTCATCCTAAATTAACAAAGTATAATATTTATTAACACTTTTTAAAATATCAAAAATAATTAGTTAAGGAAAAATTAACAAAATAAAATATACATTTATAATTTTTACTTTATTACTTTGTTATATCATAAACTTAGAATTAAAATTTAAAAAAAAAATGCAAAGGTTTTACTAAAAAAATTAAAGATGGCGATCCAATAAGTGCAAGTCCAGTTGAAACCTTTCTCTTGTTTCCTCCACTGTATTCACAACATTTTTGGTTTTTATACTCAAACAACCCCAATTTATTAAGTGCCCAATTTGCTATCTAAATAAAAATAAAACCAAGTTTTAAAGTTATTTGAAAATGTGCTGTGAACTATTATTTAAAATGCAAAGTCATTTTAAAAATATTGTTTAAAAGAGATACTTTTTTGCTTTGTGATTTATTAAACCCACGAAGTCGAGAAAAGTAAATAAATAATTCTTTAGCAGTAAGCAGCTCATCAAAAGCATCAGTTTGAGGACAATATCCGATAGTATGATATACATCTGCCAAGTTATTTCGAATACTAAAGTTTAAATAAAAATAAACATGTTTTTATAATCAAAAAAAAATCCACAAAAAAATAAAATTTAGAAGAGAATAGTTTTTGATTGTTTATTTGATTGGCTGTTTAAACACTTTAACACTTTTGTTTGAATAAACTTATATATACACATTTATAAATATAAAAAAAGTTTGCTTTTATTTGATGTCTTTATGCAAATCATCTTGCTACCAATCAAAAAACAAAAAATATTATTTGGTTGTCACTCAATTTCTTTTTTCTCTCATTATTTATAAAGAAATTAAAACAAAAAAATTGTGACTGAAGTCAGAAAAAAAAAATTTTTGGAGAGATAATCAAACCACGAACTTACTCACTGTCTTTATTACCCCCCGCCTCCTTGTACACATTTGTATGCTTTTGGGAAACCCCCACCTTCCCCATACCTGCGTAAGTACTTTATGAATAGCCCCCAATTGTAAATTGGTTACGATTTAAAACTGAAACTGGTTCAATTCCTAACCCATTCAAAACTATTCCTTATCTAAAGGAAATGTTTTTGTGTTTACTGTTTTTTTGTTGTTTAAATTTGAGTTATTTAAAAATTGTTTAATAAAATTTATAACAGAATATTAATAAAATTTTTAAAACTTTACTTAATTCAAGAGAACTTTTCATCCATGTGGAAAAAAGGAAAAAGTTAAAACTCCAGTTACTTGTACATGGCTAATAGTAATGCATTGAGAGAAAAAATATATATTCTTAGTGAATCTGAGTGATAATGAAACTGAATTATTTTGCTCCTAGCTGAGTGATGCAGTGAGTTTGCTTCTAGCAGAGTGATGACATTTTGAGAGAAATATATTTGGAAGACTGAAAAAACTAAAAAAATATCTGAAAATTAATTATGATGTTTTAAAAGTTATGTGCAAAGAATGATGTGGTTGAGCAAGATATTGTTATAGTAAAAGACATTTTCAATTTAGTTCAGCTGATAGTTACTAAAAAAGATCTTAACTTTAGTACGTCAATAGATTATGGAGATTTAAAAAGAAATGTGTCATAAAGAAATGTCTTTCTTTATGATAAAAAATATGTGTTTTAAAGCAACAGTATTTGGATGCTGGTGTTCAAAAAGTTCAAATTTTAGCAATTATGGAAAATATTTCAGAAAACTAAAGCAGCACAAGAAAGATTATAGAGCAACTGAATCTTCTTACATTTTTTGCTTTGCAGGTTATTTAACTAGAACATATTATTTCATTTACTATTTAATTATTTGATTGAAAATTTTCTTTATTTAATGAATTTTTAATAAACAATTGCAAATAAAAGGATCGTTGGTTTAAAAAATTACTTTTAGCTTTTGAAATGAACCAACATTGTTTTAGTATTTAGTGGAAATTTACTTAGTAAATAGTAGAAAACATACATGCATGTAAATGTGAAGGTAAAAACAACAATATAATGAGAGTAGAATCGATTTGAACATTAACATTAACAGCTTTACTAATTACAAATCAACGACACATTAATAACTTTTAGCTATATTCTCAAAAATGTAGATCTGATTAGTGTTTTATAAGAAACATGCCCATGATATTATTTTAATCAAGAAAAGTTACATCCAATATAGTATAGTGCTTGATAAAGGTTAGTTTTTATATATGTGATCAAACTTTTTCCAGCGCACACCCACCCCACCTTTTTATTTGTTTGGGTGTTATAAAAAGTTATTTTTTTACTGACACCACTTAAGATTTTAAAAACGTAAAAAGTATGTACTTAAGATTTTTTAAAAAAGTTGGACAATATAAAAATATAAAAATATAAAATCAGGCAATCAATTTAGCACATTGTGAACACATTTTGATAAAAAAAAATTAAAAGAAAAAAAATAATTATAAGTTGACACATCAATACAATTATTAGAATTAATTGTTACAAAATGATATTATATATCAAAAATATCAAAACAAAATAAATAAACGAATTTAAATTAACAAAATTAGTTTAAAAAAAAATTAAATTAAAAGCTTACCTATAATTATCAACAAATGCATCACCATCTGTTATGGGAGTGTCTCCAGTAAGCATATTAAATGTGCTTGACTTTCCTGCTCCATTTACACCAAGTAAACCAAAACACTGTTCAAAATTAAAAAAAACTAAAATAATATTTTAGAAAGAAAATATAAAAAAATTTTTTTTATGTTTAACTCTTACCTCTCCATGTTCAACACCAAAAGATATTTGGTTGACAGCAAGAGTTTTCAAGTTTTTTCTCCCTTTGTATATCTAAATATTTATACATCCTTGTTACATGGCAACTAATTTATTGTTTCTTTGTTACATTATTACGAATTTTATTGTTTAACTACTGTTTTTTTTTACATTTTTTGGGTCAAAAAAATTTTTAAACTTTATGAATCTAACTTTTTTTTTCAGAAAAGAATCTTAAATCGAAAATCTCTCTCAAAAACTTTCATAGATTTTTTGCCGCCTATTTTTAAAATTGAATATTGAAAACATAAATACTAAATATAAACTAGCATTTAGTTTTTAAATAAATTTTGTATATTTTTAAAATAAACTTGACAAACAAAATTTTTTATTTTGACTTGTAGTATTTATACTTTTCTTTAGTCTTACCTTAGAAAGATGTGAAGTTCTTAACGCAAAACATTTTCCTAAACTTCCTTCTTTAGTGACACGCATTTCTTCTTTCATAACATCATCATTTATATCTGATCGCAGAGAATCTATTTTGACATTGTAGGTCCTGTTAACAAAAAGCATGTTAAAGAATAAAAAGTAAACACATGTGATAAAATGTGAAATGATCTAAAAGATAAGATAATACTTTTTTGATCATTTCAAATTTTATCACCACATGTTATCTTTCAGATCATTTCATATTTTATAATCACATGTTATCTTTCATATCATTTCACATTGTTATAATCACAATTTTATAATCACATGTTATCTTTCAGATCATTTCACATTGTTATAATCACAATTTTATAATCACATGTTATCTTTCAGATCATTTCACATTGTTATAATCACAATTTTATAACCACATGTTATCTTTCAGATCATTTCACATTGTTATAATCACAATTTTATAACCACATGTTATCTTTCAGATCATTTCACATTGTTATAATCACAATTTTATAATCTTTCAGTTAATTTTATATTCTTTCAGATCAGATCATGATCAAAAAGATGTGACGATAAAAAAAATGTAAAATGATCTGAAAGATAACATGAAAGATAACATGTGATGATAAACTGATTTTTGATTGAAGATATAATGTGACAATAAAATGAACGATAACATGTGATGATAACATGTGATGATAAAATGTGAAATGATCTGATAACATAGCTGTACATAAAGCTATTGTTAATCAAATATAAATATAAACCAATATAAACCAAATAATAAATAATAAACCAAAAAAGTTTAAATGATATCCACTTAACACATTTTATTTCAGTTTTAGAACAATTTGTTCTAAAACTGAAATCTTCATCAGGAAGAAAAATATCAGTATTGAGTTTTTAAATTTATTACAAAAGCTAAAAGTTTAAAAGCTAAATATATAAACCTACTCAACACTGTTTCTTTTTCTTCATAGAGTTTGCATTTTAAAAATATGTTAAAAACCAGAAAAAAACGTAAAACTGTAAATAACTGAAACTAAAGTCATTACCATTTTGTTTATTGGTCAATCTGGCCAGTATATCAAAACAATGATTAAGAATAATAAAAAAAAATACTAGAGCCTTGTAAGTTTTCAAATATTGCTGCTTTGTAATATATAAATGCTGTTCTGTAATATACAAATGTGTAAATGTCTTAATTACAGTCTTGGAAAAACGTTTTAGACCACCACGTATAAATGCTATATTTTGGTGCCTGAAATAAAATTGAGCGTGTATAAGTTTTTATTTGGCAACCATAGCTAGTTAACACAATTTCCCAATTATTATTAAATAATCAAAAAATAATTTCCCTATTATTTTTTGTACTGTAATAACTTTTTCATTAAATTTTCAGTTTTTCGCAAGTGGTCTTAAACTTTTTTCCAAGACTGTATAAAAAAAATTGTTTTGTAATATATCTATGCTTTTCTCTATTAATACTGTTCTGTAACATAGTTTTATTCTTTAATAAGTAAGTAAATGCTTTTCTCTTATACATAAATGCTGGTCTGCAATATAAAAATGTTGTTCTGTATAATGTATGCTGTAAATATTGTGTGAATGTCCCAAGAAATATATATTATTTGAAGAGAAATATATATTACAAAACAGCATTTATATAATAACTGTTTTGTGATACATATTTCTTGGAACACAAAATACTTAAATCAAGAATAATGGTTAAAAAAAAGAAGAGAAAAGAAAAAAAAAAAAAAAAAAAAAAAAGAAGAAAAACTATCACTTACCAAGGTTTTGTAAAAAAATTGAATTGACACAATAATGTAAACATAAGATAAATAACACCAGTTATACTCATTGCAATTAAATTTCGCCCAGTTATGTCCCATGAAAATGGATCTCTGAAAGAATTTATACCTTTAAAAAAAATAAAACTATTGATAGCAATATTTACAAATTTCATGACCACAAATCAGCTATTATGATATTTTTTCACAAATTTTCTCTTATAATATTATCACAAATTTTATCCATAAATTTTAATACCATAAAACTTCAAATATAAAAAAATGAATTTATAATAAATAATTTACCAAACGATTTTTCCAACTCAGCTGTATTTTCATTTATGCCTAGATCCATAATACCTCTTCCCAGACAATAATTAGGAAATATCAATAGAATATTTTTAAAATATTGATTGATAATAAGTGTTATCTAAATAAATTTTATTATAGAATCAAAACTAAAATTATTATAGCCGTGACTAAAAAATGTATAGAAATAAAAAAAAAAGAATTAAAAATAATCTGTTTTTATTTATTTTTTATGCCTTTATTTGGTAAAAAAATAAAGAAAATTTGAAAAATTAAAGTTTATTAAAAATTACAAAAAAGTATTGTCTATGAATTTATTATTATTTTTTTCATTAATTTAAATCTTTTAAAAATTTCTTCTTTTTCTGTCTGGATTAAAATTTCAAAAAGTGTTAAAGTGCATAAATGTGCAGAATATATTTGTAAATAGTTATTAGAATATATTTATATTACAGAATATATTTATAAATACAAAGACTTCATTTAAAACTGTCAAGATGCTTCAAACTTCTGGCTTTGTTAATGAAAAAAAATTTTTGATTTGCAAATGAAAAAAAAAAAAAAAAGCAGTCCTGTGCTACAGGACTGTATATTATTACCTCAACACACACACACACACACACACACACACACACACACACACACACACACACACACACACACACACAACTATCTTATCAGCTACAACTACTTATTAATGGAGAAAAAAAAGCTGACTAAAACAATGAATTAAATGAGTAAAAAAACTAAAACTTGCAATTTAAAAAAGTCTAACTAACCAAAAAAAAAAAAAAAGCGGACCAAAACTGCAGACAAAATTAAAACTACATAACAAAAAACTTTGAACTATAACTGTTATGGCAAGAACACAAAATTTTTTAAATTAGATTAAAAAATCTCAACAAGTACCGACAAAAAGTGTGAGAGATTTTTCATACAAAGACAAAAAGCATGAGAGATTTAAAAATTGTAAAAGAAATAAATTCAAAAATTCGTAAAGGAAATAAATTCAAAAATTTATTTCCTTTACAAAATGTAAAGGAAATAAATTCAAAAAGTTGAAAAAAATCTATTAGTTTGAATGGTGTTTTATAGAAAGTAAAAAGTATAGATGGATAAATTATTATTTATTGGTACCACCACAAACACTTGTCATAATTAATCTTATAAAAAATTCATAAAAATATTTTTGTAATTTTAGTGATCACACAAGTGATAAATCATATCAAACTAGAAATAATGAACAATAATTACAAGAACTTAAAATACATAATAAAATAAATAATATGTACTTCTTTTATTATGTAGATAATATAAATAATAAAATAGTGTATATAATATAAATAACATATGTACATATTTTGTTAAGTTCAATATTTAAGTAATGGAAAATTAATAAAACCATTAAAAGTTTTATCAAATTTATATATATTAATATTAAAATAATTCAAAAATCTCAATGTTAAGACTTCCAACAAACTGTTTTTAAAATGGTACCATTATACTTGTATCATTAAAATAATACCAAACAGTCTAAAAATTGCCCCTCTCACTCCTTTAAGGAATCCTTAGGATTTTCAAAAAAAAAAAAAGTAAAAAAAAATTAATACTAATTTTAAAAGCAATGATAACTATTTTTATACAAAAGTATATATATGTATATATGATATCTTGATTTAAAAACAAATTATAAAGTTCATTCAAGTTCAAAAATAACTCAACTCAAATATAAAGGTTTTTTATTAAACTAACGTACTACATTTCAGTAAAATTTAGACATTATTTTGAAGAATTCCATAATTTATATTTAAAAAAAATCTAATTTAGAAAAAAAAATTACCTCAGTATCAATAATATCAAATATAAATGTTGCAATAGTTCCAATTACACCAATAAATAAGTTTGCAATTATCATCACAATGTATGCATTGCTTGGTACATTAAACACAAACGACATTGGATACATCATTGGTATAATAGACCACCTAAATTTTTTTACAGTTATGGTTACAATAATTACTTCATTGAAATTATTTAAAAGTTGCGGTTGCTTTTTTATACAAAAGCTACTCACCCGTACAAAATAAATAAGAGTAATGTAGCTGGTAAGTTCTGTGACGAAATATAAGCTTTTTGATCGAAAATAAAAAAAACAGCCAGAGCACAAACAACAGGCAACAAAAAACTTATCTAAATATAATAACAAATATAATCATGATTTAACATCAAAATGAAATAAAAATTCTTTTTTCCTAAAAAATGATTTTATTTAAACAGTTTAAATTAAATCTACTTTCTTTTAAGAAACAAAAATAGGCAAAATAAAATAGACAAAATAAAATAGACAAAATAAAATAGACAAAATAAAATAGACAAAATAAAATAGACAAAATAAAATAGACAAAATAAAATAGACAAAATAAAATAGACAAAATAAAATAGACAAAATAAAATAGACAAAATAAAATAGACAAAATAAAATAGACAAAATAAAATAGACAAAATAAAATAGACAAAATAAAATAGACAAATAAAATAGACAAAACAAAATAGACAAAATAAAATAGACAAAATAAAATAGACAAAAAAAAAAAGACAAAATAAAATAGACAAAATAAAATAGATAAAATAAAAAAAAATTTGTATTTCGAAGTTTTTTAGTTGTTCCAAATATTGTTAAATTAGCAAAATTAATTAAACATTCATTTAAAATAAGTTAAATGTTAATTACTTAAAAAATTAAAATTTTAATGAATAAATTGATATTATTAAAAGTTAGATTTTTTAAAACTTTATTAAAGTTAAGAACTTGTTAAATTTTTTGTTATTTTAAATAAAGATTTGGCAGATTTAGACCCAGACCACTTCCTAGTCAAACTGCTCCCTAGTCTCAAGCAGAATTTATCAAGAAACAAGCATGAAGTTAGTGATTAAAATGAAATAATATTACAATTATACAATTTGAGTTGAATTTGAGAAGATTGGGGAAGAGGTTGATATTATGTTTAAAAAGTTATAATCAATTAATAAAATTAAATATTTTAAAACAAAGTTGGTTTTTCATTTTATTTTATTTTTTCAATTTAAAAAATTATTTTAAAAAAGAAACAACACAGTCTATATATTGAAAAAAAGAGGATTGTACAAGACTGTTAGAATGTCCTCAGTCTAAACAGTTTTTTAAAAATAACAGACTGGTTTTGTTGCTTTGCAACTAACAAGACTAAGAATTATAAAGCAATTTATCATAACTGATGCAGTCATAGTTGACACATTTATTTGCTTGAAGTTTGATTTTAATTCCAAGGTATAAAACCAATTGCATCATAGAGTTATTAATCAAAATGAATATAAAAATTCAAAATATTAGGATCTTGAGAAACTCCTGACACTTAAAATTGTTAACAAAAACATTTGTATTATTTTTTGTGTTTTTTTCTTTTAAAGTTTCTTAACTTTATTCATGAGAAAGTTTTAATAATGAAAACCAAATGTGTGAGGTTTTCAAGATTTGCAAAGAATTTAGTGTTGTCTTCACACAGTAATATGTGACTACAAATTGTCTTCATTTTCCATTCAAATTCCCTTTGAATTAAAAAAACTCAATTTAAAGAGAATCAAATTGATATGTAACTATCCATTCTTCAAAAGGTAGTTGTGTATTCCTTTTCCACCCATTTTCTGTCTAAGTTGTTCGTATTCAACCTGATTTGTAAATAATATACATTTACAAATCAGGTTGAATACAAACATAAAAAAAACACGTTCTACATTTTTTTGTTTAACAAATTCTTTAAATGATATAATTAAATGAAGTTGAAATTAAATGTTGTCAGGTCAGGAGTATGGTCTTCATGATCATCCTGCTACTGGTAACATGTAACCCAGTGCAACCTGTTCCATGTTCTGCTGCCTTGCAGGATTTGCTATCTAAGCAAAGGCTGGAAGGAGTGTTCTTCCTGTCATCAGTACTATCTTATATCAGTCATGCCTATAGTATTTTTTTTTTTCTTTTCCCAAATATAGTTGGAGGTGCCTTAGTTACTGTATAAGCTCACCTGTAATCTATGTTATATGTATGTTTGTGTTCTGTCTGAACCTCTGGCGCGGTGTTCGCTCACCCGTAAGTTACTTTATGTTCTTTATGTATGTCTGTGTTCTGTCTGAACCTCTGGCGCGGTGTTCGCTCACCCGTAAGTTACTTTATGTTTATGTTTATGTTTTTTATGTTTTTTTATGTATGTTTGTGTTCTGTCTGAACCTCTGGCGCGGTGTTCGCTCACCCGTAAGTTACTTTATGTTTTTTATGTATGTTTGTGTTCTGTCTGAACCTCTGGCGCGGTGTTGACTCACCCGTAAGTTGATTTATGTCTATGTTTGTTTGTGTTCTGTTTACACTCTAATGCAGCGTGAGCTCAGTAACTAACTACTTACTCCAACTACAAAACGTACACTCACCTTAGACTCCTGTATTTTGTTAGATGCAGTGTTTTTCCTAATGCACTTCCGAAATGTCATGCCTGGTTTTCTCAAAGTACTGTTGCGGGAAGTAACTCCTTTTAACTACTCCAGGTCAGGTCAGGATAATCGAGATCAATCTTGCTACTGGTATCACGTAACCCAGTACCACCTGCCACAAGCCCTGCTGCCTTGCAGAGTGTGCTCTTCTTATGCAAAGGATAGGAGAAATAAACTCCGACTAAAAATTCCCCTGCCTTGGGGCTCTTGGTTGAGTAAAGGCTAGAGATGGTGTCTCGATAAAAACACTCATCTTGGGCAGATGTTAACTGCATCCAGCTAAACATCCCCTGCCTTGGGGCTCTTGGTTGAGTAAAGGCTAGAGATGGTGTCTCGATAAAAATACTCATCTTGGGCAGATGTTAACTGCATCCTGCTACTGTCTTGTAGAAGGCCTTTAGGCAAAGACTTTAGGGGTAAGCAGAAAAATTCTGCTAACCAGCCTCGAACCCCTTCTTCATCTATTAGGCTGGCGTAGATGTAACCTGTGTTACATTGTTTCCTGCTTAGGATGATGAATGCTGGATCTCCTTGCCTCTACTCATAGAATTTTGCTTATGCCTCCTTGATAATGGCTATGCAACTCTTCCTGTTATCTCCATATGAGGGTACAGCTCTAAAACTCAGTTTAATGGTTCTGAGGCCGGCTGGTAGTAAGGTTTCCCGAACTCTGTGATAGCTCTCAGAGAGGCTGATTCCATCAACAGCTGAAAAATATCAGAGTATTAACAGTGCCATGTTGCGCATGGATGGTGTCCCTGTTAATGCTTTTGGTGTGCATTGTCAAGGCCGCATAAGGAGCCGTATGTCACGGCTTAGGGTTAATTAACAGGACTGAGACAACTGCATAGCTCATTGATTAGGAGGCTGTGCTCTATCTATGAATGAGTCAAGTTCTCATTAAACCCAAATCATGACCAAAGTAACCAAAAATTTAAAACCTAAAAAACCATCCCCACCACCTAAATATTTTAATATATCTTTTACAAATATTCGCGGTCTACGAAGCAACTTTCCATCAGTTGAGTCTTACCTCCTGCAAAATTCACCAGACTTGCTTGCACTCAGTGAAACAAATTTAAGTTCTGCAATTCCTTCTTCAGATGTCAGTGTTGATGGGTACTATCCTTTGATTCGTAAAGACTCCAATAGTCACATGCTAGGTTTAGGGGTTTACATACGCATTAATTCCCCTATTTGTCGTGAAATCAGGTTCGAATCCTTTGACCATTCTTTTATGTGCTTTCGCCTAGCACCTCTTCACTCTATCACCTTTCTCTTCGTTCTTTATCGTTCTCCTTCTTCCCATGATTGCACTCTTTTAGATGTTATCTCTAATCAAATTGACCATGCCCTCTCTCTTTACCCCTCTGCCAATATTGTTGTTGTTGGTGATTTTAATGCTCATCACACTGAATGGCTTGGCTCTAACACCACTAATCCTGCTGGCACTAAAGCCTTTAAATTCTGCGTTTCTCAATCTCTTACTCAGATAGTTAACTTTGTGACTCGTTTTCCTGACAACCCTAATCATTTACCTTCTTGACTTATGTCTTGTCTCTGACCCTAGCTTATGTTCAGTTTCTCCCTTTTCTCCCTTAGGTGGTTCTGACCACGCTATGATCTCTGTAAATCTTTCTTCTCGTACTTCTTTTTTGGGCTCACCTTATCATCGCACCACCTACTACTACCCTAAAGCTGACTGGGATTCCTTTCGTGATTTTCTTCGTGATGGTCCTTGGGCTGATGTTTTTTCTCTCTCAGCTGACAAATGCGCCTCCTACGTAACCTCCTGGATTCAGGCTGGAATGGAAGCTTTTATTCCTTCTCGTCGGTTTCAAGTCAAGGCTCATTCTACTCCATGGTTTTCTCCTTCTTGTGCGGCTGCTATATCCAATCGTAACCATTTTTTTCATCTTTTTCAAAAGAACAACTCTCTTCAGAACAAACGACTATTTATTATTGCAAGAAATCGATGTAAAAAGGTGCTTTCTGATGCTAAACTCCATTATTCTTAGTTCACTAAATCTCGCATCTTATCGCAGAAGTTAGGCTCTAAAGACTTTTGGAAAATCTTCAACAGCATTGTTAACAAGAGTAGATCTAACATTCCATCTCTCATTCATGGGACTGATCTTGTTACCTCTCCCAGGGATAAGGCAGAACTGTTTGCAAAGAACTTTTCTTCTAATTCCACTCTTGAATCTTATGGACATTCTCTTCCTTCCATTCCAGTCAAACAGGTTGACCCATTGTTAGACATTCAAATCACTCCGGCTTCTGTTGCTAAAGTCATATCTCAATTAAACTCGTCTACAGCTTGTGGTCCAGACAACATTCCTGTCACAGTCTTGCAGAATTGTTCTCCAGAACTTTCTTCAATTCTCTCTAAACTATTTAACAAGTGTTTGACTGAGTCTTGTTTTCCTGCTTGTTGAAAAATGGCATCTGTGGTTCCAATATTCAAAAACTCTGGAGAAAATTCTGACCCCTCCAATTATCGTCCGATCAGTCTTCTTTCTGTTATTAGCAAGGTCTTTGAGTCTTTGATCAACAAATTCCTCACATCTCATCTTGAGTCAAATAAACTGCTGTCAGACAATCAATACGGTTTTCGATCCTCTCGCTCTACGGCCGACTTGCTAGCTGCTGTAACTGAAAGATTTTATCGTGCATTAGATGGAGGCGGTGAGGCTAGGGCTATTGCTCTCGACATATCTAAAGCTTTCGACAAAGTTTGGCATGCTGGTCTTCTCCATAAGCTTGCTTCATATGGTGTTTCTGGTAAAGTTTTTGAGATTATCAAATCATTTCTTTCTGACCGGTTTATTAAAGTCATCCTTGAAGGCCAACACTCTTCTTTATTTCCAGTAACTTCTGGGGTTCCCCAAGGTTCCATCCTGGGCCCTGTTTTGTTTCTTATCTACATAAACAATCTTCCTGACAACCTTTCATCTAAAGTAGCTCTTTTTGCTGATGACTCAACTTTATACTCCTGTCTTGACAAAAAGTCTTCTCTTTTCGATCGCCTAGAACAAGCAGCTGATCTTGAATCTGATCTCACTTCAGTAATAGATTGGGGTTCACAGTGGCTTGTGAATTTCAACTCTAAAAAAACCCAATTGCTTACTGCAAACAACTACCGTAATATGGTCAACATTCCTATATTAATGAATGACAATCCTCTTACTGAGTCCTCTTCTTTACGTCTTCTTGGATTATCGCTTACTACTGACCTTTCATGGAAACCATATATACAATCGATTGCTAAATTAGCTTCTGCTAAGGTTGCTTCTCTTTATCGTGCTCGCCATTTCCTTACTTCTGATTCCATTCTCTACCTCTACAAATCTCTTATTCGTCCCTGTATGGAATACTGTTGTCATATTTGGGCTGGTTCTTCTAACGATTCACTATCTCTTTATGACAAGGTCCAAAAACGCATTGTAAATGTTGTTGGACCTGGACTATCTGCTAAGCTTGAACCTCTTTCCCATCGTCGTAAAGTTGCATCTTTTTCTCTTTTCTACAGATACTATCATGGTCACTGCTCAAAGGAGTTATCATCTCTAGTTCCATCAACTAAAATTCATTCTCGTTTTACTCGTCATTCAGCTAAGTCTCATTCGTTTACTGTATCTGTCCCTGCATGCTCTAAAAACTTTTATTCATCTAGTTTTTTTCCCCGCACTTCAATCCTTTGGAACTCTCTCCCATCTTCATGTTTTCCTGACTCCTACAACCTTCAACTTTTCAAGTCTTCTGTCAACCGTTTCCTTGCTCTATAACTCTGTTCTTTTTTTTTCCTAGTAACTCACAACTTAATAGTGGTTGCTTGCAGCCTTGTTGGGAGTGAATGCAAATGAAAAAAAAAAAAAAAAAAAAAAAAAAAAGTTATATAAATAGTAAATTTCCAAATTTTTAATAGTTTAAAAAGTTTAATTCAAAAGTTTAAAATAGTTTTTTTGTTTCTATTTTTATATTTGTTTACTTTTAATTTCAATTTTTTTTTACCATAGTTTTATAAATTTCTTTTTGATTTTATATTTAATTTTTAATGTTTTTTTTTATTAGAATTTTTTTAATTCTTCTTTTTTTTTTTTTTTTAATTCTTAACTTTTTTGTACTATTTGAAAATTAGTTTGTGAATGAAGCTGCAAAGTTTATAAAAAAAAAAAAATTAGATGATGAATCAAGCTGCAAAGTATATATATAAAAAAAAAATTAGTTTGTGAATGAAGCTGCAAAGTATATCAAAAAAAGAAAAAGCTAAAGAGTAAATAAAAAGACTTTTACAATGATTTTAATTTAAGCAATTTAAAATGATTTAAAAAACTTGAAAAACTGTAAACTCAATGTAAATTGTGTCAGGAAAACACGGACGAGAATTTCAATACACCAATGTTTGTGAAAAAAACTAGATGAATAAATATTTTTTGAGCATGAAGGAACAGTTTTATTAAAAGAATGCAATTTAGCCGCATGAGGAGTAACAGAAAATTGAGTTTTGGTTGAAGGTACAAGTGAAGCATTGCTACAATACATCAAAAATGAAGTGAACTTGGTTCCCATTTCCCCAAAACTACCATTTATTATCACTAGTTTATTTTTGAACTCATCAATTAAATTTTTTATGTCATAATTTTAAATTTTTAACAATACTAATTTCCTTAAAAATGCTGTTACACATTCTGAAATTAAAAATCCTGTTAGTCAAAAAAAAAAAATCCTGTGTAAGTCAAAAAAAAAAATCTTGTGTAAATCAAAAAAAAAAATCAACTAGGAATCTAAAAGATATGAAAAATAATAGTTTGCAACTATTTATATTAAGTTTTTCTATTGTTGAAATTTTTTTTTAATGTTAGTGCAACATTTACTTTTCCACATCTAAATGCATCCTAATTTTCCAAATCTAAATGCATACTAATTTTCCAAATCTAAATGCATTCTAAGGATACAAAGCAACCATTTTAAAATTTGCATCCTAAACAACTTTATAATAAGTTAATAATACTCCTATTGACTTAAATATTACCAGAAGTTGCAACAGACAAATTTTTATATCATACATATATAGTCTTATATAGAGTTTTATAGTCATATCTTTAGCCTCAAATAAATAGTTTTATAAACTGCAACCAACTAATATAAAATTTTTAGCCTGAATAATGAATAAAAAAAATTAAAATACAAATATATTACAAAAAACTGGCTAACATACCATGTCCCATGTAAAATTAGCTATCCAATATATAACAGGATTCAATCCATTTATAATCTGCAGGTGTTTAAACTTGCTTGCACGATCTTCCACTAAGTAAACAAGAAAACTTGCTGGAACAAATGATGTTGCTACGATTACAAATAATGGTACAAGCAAAGTTATTATTGATTTTGATCTAAAAAAAATCAAATATTAAATATTTCAAAAAATAAAAATTTTAAAAGTAAAAAATATATATACACACATTTTATACAATTTTTTTATATAATGTATACAACTATAGGAACATATATAAACATTTTTACTGTTTGTGGTAAAAAATGGCTCGTAATGACTCTTTGATTTTAAAATTAAGGACAGCTTCTGTCAATACCATTAAATTTAAATGTGGAAACTAAATAAATTTTATTCTTAAAAAAAAAATACTGAATGTTTTAACTTAAAAAAAATTAAAAAAAACAAAAAAACATTTTGAATGTTTTTATTTTTATTTTTGTGTGCTGCTACATTGATTGAGAGTTTGGTTTGGGTAATCAGTCAATTTTTCTGGTCTTCTAATTTTAAAAAACACATAAACTTGATATTTTATTTTGTTCAAAACCAAACTTCAATTTTTACTTGACTGATTCAATTTTTACTTGACTGATTCAATTTTTACTTGACTGATTCAATTTTTACTTGACTGATTCAATTTTTACTTGACTGATTCAATTTTTACTTGACTGATTCAATTTTTACTTGACTGATTCAATTTTTACTTGACTGATTCAATTTTTACTTGACTGATTCAATTTTTACTTGACTGATTCAATTTTTACTTGACTGATTCAATTTTTACTTGACTGATTCAATTTTTACTTGACTGATTCAATTTTTACTTGACTGATTCAATTTTTACTTGACTGATTCAATTTTTACTTGACTGATTCAATTTTTACTTGACTGATTCAATTTTTACTTGACTGATTCAATTTTTACTTGACTGATTCAATTTTTACTTGACTGATTCAATGTAAAAATAAGAATTTTAAGTTCGCTTCGAAGAGTTTTATGCTTAATTGAAAAAAAAATTATTATGCAGTTGAAAATTTATCAAGAAAAAAGTTTTTTTTTAAAATTTTATACCATCTTATTCTGAAAAAGATTCTTTACAACATGATCATAAAATATTTTCAAAAAGTTTATTTAATAATTATTTATGAGCAAAACATTAAACATTGTAATTTCATAATACCTTTTTAATTTGCCCTGTTAAACTTTTTCATTTGCCCTGTTAAACCTTTTCATTTGCCCTGTTAAACTTTTTCATTTACCCTAACTTTTTATTTTGTTAATCTTGTTAATTATTTTGTTGTAAATTGTTGTATTACAAAAATATTTATAGTGCTATAACTAAGAAAACAGTCTAACAATCAAGAAATTAAATAAAACAAAAACAAAAAAAACTTACAAAATTTCTTGATTTGAAAAGATTTTTAAATTTATGGGATGATTATATGTAATGATCCCTAGAAAATAAAAGGTTTATATACACATACTAAATAAATTTATTAAATATTATACAGTCATAAACTATTTAAAATAAATTTATGATAAATTTTGTTTATAATTCTCCTACACAACATAATAACTACATCATATAATACACATCAAATAAAAAAGAGTACAGAAAGATATCAGAACAAATTTTATCAGAACTCATTACACATAAACTAAAACAGTATTATAAAATAGTAGTTTATCATATTCACTTGTTAGTAAGTTTATTTAATCAGTATTATTTAATAATTGCCTCAAGGATTGGCACAAGAATCTAAATAATTTATAATTTTAATGAAATAATGCTCAAATGTGTTAATTTAAAAAACAAGTCAAATGCCAAAATTTTTTATTTAATTTAAAGTTATTATCATTATTTAAAGTTATGATTTTAAAAATAGAATAATTAGGCATAATAAATAAACCTATTAACCTTTTGTTTGTTTTTATGTACTCTAATCCTTTATATGTATATTTGATATTCCCAATAATCATTTAAATATTTTTAAATGTAGTGACAGATGTTGAACATACTGTTTCAGATAGTAGACTATTTCAAAAACTTGTTACTTGCATTCCAAAAAAGTTTTTCCATATGCCTGTCTTACAAAAAAAAAAAATTTAATTTATAAATGTGACCTCAACAGGTGTTGATGGAGCAATACTGAATGGCATTTAATGAGAACATGAAAGGGTTGTAACTACATTTATAAAGATTGTGAACCCATTTGTAAGTTTCTACCATTTCATTATATAAAAAAATGATAGCTCATGATATTTAAATTTAGTCTCAATAATTTTTGGTTATAAGCGAATCCAGTCAGGTCAAGAACAGCTTTACTTGACTTGCGTAAAACATTTTCAATTATTTGTTGATCTTTTTTAGTCTAGGATAGTAGACAGAGCTGTAATAATCAAGGTGATGATGAACAAGAGAAATAAAAAAATTACAAAATAACGAGATAATTAGTTTTACAAAAGATCTTTTGATCATTGCAACAATTTTATTCCCTTTGTTAATCTTTGTATTTACATGAGAAGAAAAAGTCAGATTACAGTTGTAAAAGACGAAGATGTCTTTTACAACCAGAAAGTTTTCTAGATTAATTGAGATATTAGGATTCATATCAACAAGTGTATAAATGAACTTTGCATTTGTTGGCCTTAAGTGGCATAACTTTACATTTTTTGACATTTAAAAACTTAGTTTCCATAATTTTGTCCAGATTGTTGTCCATATAGTTCTGCGGATTATAACATGATTACTGATGCATAAAATTATAACATGATGAGCTATCAAAAATTTGTATATCTTAATTCATCTGCAAATACAGATACAATAGCTGAAACAAAATAAGGAAAATCATTGATATAAATCATGAAGAAAATTGAGCCAAGAACTGGGATGCCACTACTTACTTTTATCCATTCTGAGTATGTACCACTAACATTGATACACTGCTGCCTATTTTTTAAATTACATTCTATACAATTATAGAGTTTGTCACCTATTCCATAAGCTTTTAATTTTAGAAGTTTAATTTTTGAAGAACTGTGTTAAAAGCTTTCAATATATCATGACATGTATTACCTATATTAATTTTATTTTCCAAGGCTAATGTCCAAGCTACAATAACTGACATTGAGCTTGTTAGGTATGACCTTTGATAATCCTGCTAAACAAGAAATGATTTTTGAATTCTGAAACAATAAAATTTTTGAATTTTTTTGTTTATGTGACACAAAGATTACAAAAAGTGACCAATGGAGCCATCCAGTTATGTAGACCTGGGAGATGTGAAAATAAAAACAGATTGTAGATGGTGTTGTTGAATAAAAAAAAAATCATAAAAAAATATAAAATGTGGCAAGACTTGTGTGAAGTAGAAGAACAAAGGATGCTAAGGGGGTATGGGGAAAAACAACTAACGCTCTAGTCACTCTATGTGTAGAACATTAGCAACAAATAACAAATATTTGATCTACTGATTTTAAAAACAATGTCAATGTTTGCAGGTGTAATGATGTAGTGCATTAGTATGTTCTGCTTGGTTGACTAGTATGGTCTTGTTATGTTTTCGTTCATTTTCAAATTGGGTGAATAGAAAGCTAAACACACTCACTTCTTGTGCTTACAGGTTAGCACATCAGAGCTAGACGTAAGAAATGGACTACAAAATGGAGTTCAATTGATGGAAAGCAAACATTAGTCACCATAGGCCACAAGCCATCACTCTTAGCCAAAAGAGCTACTGCCCTGTGGTGGTATGGAATGATGTGCTATGAAGTGAGATTTTAGATTCGAGCACATAGTCAGCGAGCGCTAATCGGACGTGCATTGTGGAGCTTCTGACTGAACATGGGCGTGAGTGTCAGCGAAGTCATTAGGTTATAGAGTGCTGTAACCACATCCAGCGGGATAGCCTAATGTCCGTTTTGTCATTGAGGTGTACATTGGAAAAATTTGGGGCTCACCAGCCACAAAGAAGAAATTTTTTTGTTTATGCAACACAAAGATTGCAAAAAGTGGCCAATAGAGCTGTCCAGTTACATAGACCTGGAAGATGTGAAAAACAGATTGCAGATGATGTTATTTAGGTAAAAAAAACATAAATTAATGTAAAGACTATTTAATAGGAGGAGTAAAAGTTAGCGACTCAGGAAAAGAGAAACCATTACTCACACTCTAGCCATTACTCACACTCTAGTAACGGATAACATTAATCCCAGATATAATAATGTCCTGTAGATTTAAAAGTTTTAAGATTTTACAAATGATGGAGATAACAGTTAAAGATAAATTAATGTTAGATTTTAAATACAGTTTTATTTAAAGAAAATATCGAAGTGGATTTGGTATCTTGATAAGCAAAAACTGAGGCCAAAAAATTGTTGAATATTTTGGTTTTCAAATGATCGTTATTGCCAGTTTTGTTGTTAAAATTAATATTGGGTAAACCATTATTTTTGCTTTTGTATTTTAAATAACTATAAAAAGTTTTGGATTTGATTTTGCCAAATTTCTTTTAAATGATATCACATTTTTGCATATATTTTTGGGTTTATTGCATGAGTTAACAGAGTTGGGTTTATTGCATGAGTTATGAGAGAAGCTTCTAGTTTTTGTTATAAATAATATTCAATATGCTTGTTCTTTTTTCTGTATGGCTGATTTGATATTGTTAAAACATGTAGAACTTTTATGACTTTTTATTATTTGTTTAGAATTAGAGTGTTTATTTAGTTGATTAATGTATCACGAAATAAATTCCATAAGCCAGTATTTGCATTATTACAACCTATTTAATTAATCAACTGGTTTCATATTAAAACTTGATTGATCATAATCCCTATGAGATATTGATGAATGATATATATTTTTATAGTTGGATTTAGGTTAATGTTGATAGAAAAAGATGATAATTAACAATGACTGTTCCCAATAGGTGGCTTATGATCTATATATGTAATCATATTACAATCTGAAGATATGATAAGATTTTTTTTAAATTAAATTTCGTACTTGATTGTCGCAGCGATGAGTTAAATTGCCTACATGTTGATATAGCTAAAAAATTTTAAAAGTATCAATGAATAATAATTTTTTTTGCAGAGGTTGTAAACAGATTAATAGGATCAGATCAGTCAATAATGGGATAGTCTCCCAAAATAAATAAGCGAGGGCGTAATTTTGAAATTAAGGAGAATGATATATGCAACTGGTTTTTGCTACTCTATATGTCAAAGTTTATGTTTCAGACAAATGTTTAAGTTACAAAATTAAAAAAAAATGCGCTTCATAATAATATGCTTCATAATAACATGCTTCATAATAATATGCTTCATAATAATGTAATTTGATAAAGCGAGTATGTGTAAATATAACTTTTAAATTAATTTTTTATACTTTCATCTTTGATTTTTAAAACAATGTCCATTATTATTGCAGAACTTTTAAAAAATCATGACCAACAAGAAATATTAGTGTCATAAACAATTCTATGATAATAATTTATAACTTAATATATCACGAATATTACCATATTGTGAAGGATCATCAGATGCAGGAATGTTGGCTCGCAGAATAGCATTATTAATGGAATTTAAATATACTGGAAGAGCATGATAGCCTTTCAAATTGTACCACACCTGAAAAAAATCACACATGACTGAAAACAATAATGGTTGACTATATAAATATAATTTTAATTACAATATAATAAACTATATAAAATAAAAAATTTTCTGATTATAAATAATATAAAATAATTTATTATTGATTCAATATAATACATAATTATTTACCTTAATGATGTTTTGAGGAATGTGAAAAATATTCTCACAAGTAATATTCAATAGTGAACTGCATGGATAATCCTTTATTTCCTCAAAAGATAACCCTCCAAATCTAAATGAAATTAATGCATAAAAAGCTTTACATACATAGTTCAATAAATATTTGGCTTTGAGAGTATGAAAGGTGAAAAATAATTCTCTTGACAACCTATTATGCCACTTTTAATTAATTGTCTAAATTTTTGTAATGCAAAATGTATTCAAGATTTTTAAACGCATTTTTATTTTATATATATATATATATATATATATATATATATATATATATATATATATATATATATATATATATATATATATATATATATATATATATATATATATATATATATATATATATATATATATATATATATATATGTATATATATATATATATATATACACATATATATATATATATATATACATATATATATATATATATATATATATATATATATATATATATATATATATATATATATATATATATATATATATATATATATATATATATATATATATATATTTATATGAACTTTTCACATCTAAATTTGTTTTACATCTAAAAATCTGTTTAAAACTTTTTGTCTTTTAAAATTACAATGTTAATTTATAAAATTACAAAAATTAACATTTTTACAATGTTAATAAAAAATACTATTATTAATAAGTTTCAGGTAACTTCTTTTGAGAGCCAAGTTTTAAACAATTTTATTTTTGAATTATTGTATCATTGTTAAGTTCAAACTTGAGGTGTTAAAAATAAAACTGTACTATATGGCAGTAATACACACACTTTTAAATTCAAAGGTAAGAAATATGCATTACAAATAATAATAATTATTAATAATTTTTAATTCAAGGTAAGAAATATGCATTAAAAATAATAATAAAGAAGCAAATATAAGAATAGCAAGCAAACAGAAGAACCTTTATCAATAAACAAAAAAAAAGAAATTAAAAAGATTCAAGATTAGATAATAATACTATAAGAACATAAAAATTACTATTCCATTAGATCATTGTTTAGGATTTGTTGACCCAAAAATATTAAAGCAAAATGAAATAAAAATGTGATACAAATGTATACTGCATAAATTTAATTTTTACTTAAAAATAATTTTTTTGTCGATCACCAGAAAGTGTGGCTAGTCAAAAACATTTCTTAACTGTTTAGTTCAAAATAAGGATTGATATAGATTATAAAAATAGATAACAAATCAAAACTTTTGCAAAAATATTTGCATACAATCAAATTAAAACTACAGTTTTTATGTTTTGTCAATTAATTTTTATATAAAACTTATATATATATATATATATATATATATATATATATATATATATATATATATATATATATAAAACTAATTGATTTACTTTTAACATTTATTTTCAAGTTAGGAGTTACCAGAAAACAAAGAAAACTGTAGTTGATACAAGACTTAAAGAACTGTAGAGGAAAATTAACTGAAGTTAATTGTTAATTGTAAATTGTTAGTTGTAATTGACTTGACAAAGACATGAAGACAGGAAAGAGTTCCAAAGAATTGATGTGTGAGAAAACAAAATTTTTAGAGCATAAAGAGACTCTTTGTCTTTTGTAACACACATACATGGTGTGCATAACAGTTCTCGTCCATGCTTTTTAATAGAGTGATGACAATTTTTTTTATAAGTTTTATCTTTCAATTTGCATTGGTTACATGTCATGTAATGTAACTTGGAATCTGGAAAAATATTAGAATGATCTTGCCACCAGAACCATATAAACCATATAAAAATTACCATATAAATAAACATAATACAGTAGTTTAGATCAAAATAACATCAAAATAATTTATCAGTTGAAAAAAATAATACTTTTTAACTTATTTTTAAAAACTAATTCTAAGAACCATTACTAATACATTCTTTTTACTGTTTGTACAAATTTTAAACTAAAGTATGCAGTGTAAATGTGGTTACTTTAGATAAACGTTAATGTAATTAAAGATTGAAACAAGAAATTTATTTGACTAGATTATTTATTTACTAGTCAAGAAGGAAACATAGTAATAGCAGAGTTAAACAAGACAAGTTCCTTTCGTACTATAATAATAATTTCAAACTTTTAGCATCATTCTAACCAACTGAGCTATCCCAGCTCTGATTAATTAATATACAATCATTTTAGATAATTCTATAAAATCAATTTCAAAATGCTCTAATTAGATAAAAACAAAAATTTGAAACAGATTGTTTTTTCTTTTTTTAAATTCTAATTCACTTCCAACAAGACTGCCAGCAAATACTATTAAGTTAAGAGTTACTAGAAAATAAAGATTAAAGTTAATGAGCAAAGAATCGACTGATAGAAGAAAAGTTATAGGTTGTATGAGTCAGGAAAACTTGACGATGGGAGAGAGCTCTAAAGGGTTGAAGTGCAGGGAAAAAGACCAGGCTAACAAATATTTTTAGAGGATACAATGCAAATTTTAATACACAGCACTAAAAGAACTTTTTTAACATAGAGTTTTAGTTGATGGAACTAACAATAATAGCTTCTTTGAGCAGCAACCATGATTTCATGTATGTGTAGAAAAGAGAAAGAGATGCAAACTTACAATGATATGAGAGAGACTTTTTTTATGGAGTTAAACTCATAGATACTAGTTATCATTTAAAGATAATTTGTAATTTTGTAAAAAAAAAAAAGATAAATCATTTTATAAAAAAAAAGGTAACCATTTTATATAAAAAAAAGGTATAATTAAAAAAAAAAAAAAGTAAATCATTTTGTAAAAACAAAAAAGAAAAATCATTTTGTAAAAAAAAAAAGGTATCATTTTGTAAAAAAACAAGAGGTTATTAAAAAAGGAAATCACTACTAATTAATTGTTTGTCCTAAACTAAGATTGAACAATTAGAAAACTTTTAAAAGATTGCAAACTAATTGTAAAGATGTAAATTGTAATTTATAGAATTTAACCAATATATGAAATTTTATTTCCAAAGTCTTTTTTAATAGAGTTTTTGAAGAAAAAATTGTGACACTCTTCTCTGCATCAGTTCTATTATATCAACTTTGAGAGTTAAGCCTACAAACTGTTTACAGCCTAAAAACTTAACAGTCGACAACTACTGTAACACATATGCAAATATTATATACTTAACAGTTAAGTCAATTGATAAAGAAATTCCAACTTTTAAAGAAAAAGTATTTTATATTTTAAAACTGATACTTTAAATTCAAGATGAGATCTCACTAGTATTAAATATGACAATTTTTAATTTTTTTTGAAAAAAAAAAATCAGAATTTAAACAAGTAAAAGTTACTTGTATAAAACATTTTTTAACCTGGTGATTTTATTTGCTTATGTAATTTTAGATTAGCTAATATTAATACCTAAGTTTTTTTATAAATTAGTTTCTAGTTTTTAATTTTATAATTTCCATATGCGTCATTAATGGTATACTTGTTAAACATAATTTTTATTTTGATATGCACAACTTTATACTTTTTTTCATTGATTTTTATTACATAGAAATTACATCATTTGTCTTTAAATACAAAATACTTTACAACTAAATATTTTTTAGAAATATATTCACCAATTACTCTTTGCTGAAAATAAAAAAATAAAGTTTGATAATCATTTGACTATAAAAATAAAAAAGCTAAAAAATTGCTTTATTTTTACATCTTAGATTTCATATTAGCTGATGAAAGTACTACAAAAATTTAGCCATTAATTTCTTTTAGTTCAATGTAAACTTGGCTTCTTAAATGTGATTGTAATAAGTGATAATAAATGATACAACTTAAGTGATTGAGAATAAATATAGCCAAAATAATGACCAGATGGTCATTCTATTGACAATAACACAAGTGCATTCTTTGAAAGAAATAACAAAGATTATTTATGTTAAAATAACAATATATAACAATAAAGACAAGTTTTGTTTATTTCTTTTAAGTTAATTTTTACACTTTAAAATTTTTGTGCCTATCTGATGCCAAACTAAAAGTTTAATAAGTTAAAGTTTTTAATAATTGTTTTATAACCTTTTTTTAGATAGCTTTTAGATAGTGAGGCTCAAAGACCCAAACAGGGACCTGGGAGGAACCAGGGGGCCAGGAGGACCCCAACCAAGTTTATAAGGGCTTTGTCAAGACTTTAAAAACTATTGCAGACACATTGTACAGCTACAAAATCAATTGTGGTATCACTTTTGATTCTAATTTACATTTTTGTTAAAACTTTTAAAGGAGAAACCTTTAAAATGTAACACCTGTAACATTTGAAAAATAACATTTGGAGTAATCCTTAAAAACAAGAGAAAGCAAAAAAGAAAAAAATTTTATATATCAATATTACCTGCCCTCATGATTAAAAAAGATAAAAAATTTTTATAAAATAATGCTGGAGCCAAATTTATTTCAAATTATTACACTTAACTATCATTATTGATAAAGATAACAAGTTGATAGTGATAGAAATGTTTTTCTAACCTGGATCAAAGCAATGGAATACCCATTATACTAGCAAGTATTTTTAATATAAAAATATTATATTGTAAATTTATAAATAAAAATTTAAATTGCATATAAAATTCAAAGTAGCTATATAATTTTTATTTTTTTTACATTTATTTTAACAGTTAAATTGTTTTTACATTTATTTTCATCTCTTATACATTTGACTGCATTTATTGAAACACGCTAAATTAAAAAAATCTAAAAAATCTAAAAAAAAATCAATATGCAGAATTTTTTAATCTTTTTTGTTAAGGTGTTTATATTTCTCAAAAACAACATATTTTATGTCCATACTGACGAAAGTGTACTGATGAAAAGTGATTTTAATTTTATGGGATATTAATGCTAAATGTTTTCCAACAGGTTGGGAAAGACTTGGAATAATTCAAAAAAAGGCTTTGGCACTAGAAAATACTTTTATTGCTATTGCAATTCATAAAAAATCTCTTGCACAATAACTTATGTATACCTAGTGTGTAATAATAAAAAAATTATAAATTTATTTTTAACAAAAAGCTTCATCAGAATTTATTATTTTCAAGTGTATCTTCAAAAAATTTTAAAATACTTAAATTGAGCCCCAAAATACCATAGATTATTGGAGTCTAAAGTCTTAAAAGTTACATATTAATCTCTGAAATGATCCCATATATATTGCAAAAAAACAACATAAAAATGATATATCTAATGAAATATGATATATATGTGATACAAATGTTACATGTAATAAAATAAACACAGTAAAAGCACCTAACAACTAACCTATGATTTATGAACTTAGGCATAGTAGAAATCAAATAATCATTCATGCTGTAACCAGTTATATTAACGATTGTATCACCAGTTCCAATATTCAAAAAAGTTAGATTATCACATTTTCTTTCTGTGTCTGTGCAATATGTTGATGTTGCTGATTTTATCACCCTATTATTCTTTGTAATACTAGATGATATTCCATATTGATTAGATGTAAAGTTTACAAAGTATGAGTTATTTCCATCTATATATATATATATATATATATATATATATATATATATATATATATATATATATATATATATATATATATATATATATATATATATATATATATATATATATATATTTATATTTATATGTATACGTGCTTCCAGAAAGTATTAACTTTTTTTTTTTAATTTAAAAAAACACTATTACAAAGTGCCAAATACAAAAAAAAAATTCTTTTTTATTATCTTTAATTTATTTAGAATACAATAAAAGAGACAAATATAAAACAAAAAAAGGTGAGCAATCAGTATTTACGCACAATCTTTTGAAGAGCTTTTGAATTAGTTTTCTTTTTGAAGAGCAATTGAATTAGTTTTCTATTTATATTAATTTGAAGTTGACAATAAAAAAAAGTTAATACTTTCTGGAAGCACTGTATAGACATATAAGGATAATCAGTATATATAAGTATAACCTTGTCCAGGATATTCAACAAATGATTTTATAATACTATCAAAGTATCTGTTACTATTTTTGGTGTCAATAACAATGTAATTTGGTTTCGAAAACATCTCAGTTGATAACTTTAATGATGGTTTGAATGAATCCCAGGGCTGGATTAGTGTAATACATATTGCTACAACAACAAATATTGTAGGAAGTAGAATTTCAGAAATGGCACCCTTTACATTCCTTGTTGAATGATAGAACCGCTTAGTAAGAAGAGCTTGATACTGTTTAATCCACAATGCACATTTGATTTGATGCTTTTTAATAACTAAATATTTACGCAGTACGAATATATATACAGAAATATTTTTAAATATATTTTACAAAATAGTATGCTCAATCTTTTTTTTACTAGTATTGCTCTGTTCTTACAAGAACAGAGCAAACTAGTAAAAAAAAATTTTTTTTTAATTTTTACAATGTTTCATTAATAAAGACTCTTTATTGATGAAACATTGTATAAAATAAAAAAACTAAATAATTAAATTAAAAAGTTAAATCCCAATATCTTGGACCTCCAAGGACCAAGGAAAATGATTTGAGTTAACGAATGTTCAACTAAAACGAACTCCTGTTAAGTCTTTGGCTTATATAAGATACTAGTTAGCATTAAGGCGATTTTTCTTTACATTAAATTTACACTATTATACTAATAAAAGTGTGGAAAATATTTCAATGAAAAAAATAATAGATTGTATTCATGCAGTACAGTCTAAAGGCAACATTCAAAAAACGACTTGAAAATTAAGAATAAACTCTTTTTTAAAAAAAAAATTAATCATGCCAATATCTTTAATTCCCATACAAAATGTTTGAGTTATCCTAAGAAATTTGCTAAAAGGGGATTAAAAAATGGTTCCACTTATTCAAGTTATCCAAGATTCAACTTACTGGGATTCGATATAATAATAAAAACTTTATTACTAATGTTAAATATTCAAAAGTTTAAAATCAGTTTATTTTATAGGTAAATCCATAATTTATTGAAAATGACGTACACAAAGCTAAGATTTAATTTATGTTATAAACATTCATGTGAATGTATATAACATATAATATGTTTATTATGTATATAATATTAACTGAATATTAGTAACAAATACTTAACTGATTCTAAACTTTTGCAAGAGACTGTATATATATATATATATATATATATATATATATATATATATATATATATATATATATATATATATATATATATATATATATATATATATATATATATATATATATATATATATATATATATATATATATATATATATATATATTTATTATTATATTATTTATTCATATATATGTATTTATATATGTATTGAATTATATATATATTTATTGAATTAACTATACCCATTTTTTGCATTAACCCCATTTCTAACTTCATTTTTAATTCATCACTTGTAAAATGCATACTTTGAATGTGTATTGATAATCAATGTTAAAGTTTAACGCATTGTATGATTGATTGAATGTTTAAATACTTAATTATGGGCTCTTGATACTTGCGTTCACAAGAGAACATGATATATTTTTATTTATTTATTGTAAATGTGGATTTTGAATGCTTTTTTATTCTTACCTATTTTAGATTGCATAATAATCTTGAAGAAAAAGTTTATAACCAGAAATATATAAATTATAAGTTTCAGGCCGGAAGTGTCACTCAGTGTTTAGCCAACCTTGTAAATTTCCAGATTCTTGTCGGCAATTTGTTAATTTAACCATTTAAGCATTATCCATTCATCAGACACAAAAAGACCTCACAATCTTTAGACTCTGTAAAACCATCAATCAGAGACAAAAATAAGATGGTGGCTGATGATTCAGTAAACATATGGTTGAGAGAAGGGTTGCCAAAAATTTTTTTTAACAGCATTCTGGAATGCTTTGATAAATTGGTTAATGATACAAAGTGATTGAGGAAATATTTGTTTTATAAGTATTTGGCATTTGTCCTTGCAAATATTTTAATTGTGGTATCAGGGACTGGCCAAACTGCCATTGTTTCATCAAAGTTCCTTTTAAGGAATGGTAGTTTTGGTCCAATCGAAATAGTAATTGCAAAATACACATTAGCCAGATTGACCAAGAAAAAATGGAATGACTCGAAAAGCAGAAAATTCATAATATTATTGTATTTCAGCAAAAAGAACTTTGTCTATTAATGGAACAAACAGGAGTTAACAACCAAGATGCATGCAAAATTGTTAACACTTTCCTAAAAGATATATTTTTTACATTTGATTCACCATAATACATAATGGATCCAGCAAAATTATGAAGACAAATAAACCTGTGGCAACAAAAACATGTAGAAGAACATGCAGAATTAGCCACAGAAATCTTTGGAATTGATTTTGATAACCGTAAAGACAAGACTGTTAGACTAGTGAAACAAAACAATGATAAGTTAATAGAGCCACTTACATCAAAGAAGATAATTATGTTTGCTCATATTCTAACAACATTTAAATTTATCACATTTGTTCATTTCTAGAAATATTAAAAGCATGCTATGTTGTTATCCAAGTATTTCACAAATACTTCTCCTAGAAATCTCAATCATGGTAGGTGGCTCACATTTGCCATGTTTTTGCGTTGATAATACACGTCAACCATAAAACCCACTACAAGTCTGATAAAAATTGTTGATCATTTTATAAAAGTTTACTGCTTTTGGTGGATTTTATTAAAGAAAAACAGGAAATGCATTGAAGCACAGAATTTTTTCATGATTGTGAAATGCGTTCAGAATCTTAATTATCCTGATACAATAGCAATTGTCCAGAAACTATTGCAAAGAAACAGTTATTTTGCTCATCCTGAAAGTGTTTTGTAGTCAGCCTCTTCCTTTTCCTTGTCCTTATCATGGATGAAGACAAGGAAAAAGCAGTTAATGCAGCAAAAAAAAATATGATAAAGAAGAATACTGATGGTGTGCGTGTTTACTTTATACAGACAATTTTTCCTGATTTCCATACTTCTTCATTTTTCAAATTGATCAAACAGTCTAATGTTAATATCTCTCCTCCTCTATTTTCATCTGATGTAAACAATGAAGACCTTATTATCAAAGTTACAAAAGTTCCAGATATTCTATGTCATTTTGAAAATATTAAACGCCTGGTCAAATCTCGATTGTTACAACCTATAAATAATGTAGTGGAATGCTTGAATCCACTTTAAAATCAAAACATAAATACCCAAAATTAGACAGTAAAAAGGACTTTATGTAAATATTTTGCATTTCCAAACTTTTTCCATTATACAAATCTAGTTTTTATTTATTAAATGGTGTACTTACTTACTGTCAGGTGATATTAAGGCAAAAAAAATCTAATACACATATAATAAAAGCAAAAGTTGCTTTTATTATATGTGTATTAGATTTTTAAACTTAAATCAAAAAGTTAAACATTTTTCAGGTACTCATATTTCATGATGTAGCAAGTTTTCCCACAAGTAACAATGCTAAATTCAAAAAAAATTTAAATATGTATATATACATATTTATATACATGTTTGCATATATTTATAAATATATATGTGTGTATATATATATATATATATATGTACACACATATATATATTTATTTATATTTATATAATATATATGTGTATATATATATATATATATATATATATATATATATATATATATATATATATATATATATATATATATATATATATATATATATATATATATATATATATAGGGTTGCCATATGGTAATCACTGAAAAAGAGG